GTCAGACTACCGCGAAGCTAGGGAGGAACGCAACTTGCGACACCTACGGTGATTACGAGAGCATACACACACACATGTGTCTATGTATATTGTGAAACGCACGAGAGTTCTAACGTTACACTGAAATCCTGAACTCAGCAATGAAAAACGGCAGCTCACAAACTGCCTTGTCTGGTCCCTCTTCCTATAGTTCTGGGAACGTCTCTTACTCTGACCGAAAACGTTCAACTGAATTCAGGAAATGCTGACGGAAAGGATCCAATTTAAGACAGCTGAAGGGAGGAATGGCGAAAATTACATAACGAGGAATCCAAGCTGATAGATCTGCCCTTTATAGCAGTTTCTGATTGGTGAACCACATGATTATTATTGCGTAGTTATTAATATGATTCCTATCATACAGCCTACTGAAATTTAAGCGTGGAACCGCTAAAAACAAAAATACCGAACATCAAAATTCGGGAACTAGGAAATACAGCGAAGTACCTGCGTTTTATTAGTTAATGAGTATGCCATTGAGGCAGCTGATCACAGTGGCCGCGCGGTCTAAGTATGAACTCCCTTCTGTCGCTTGAACACTCAGATCGTGGGTTCGAATCTTACTGAAGGCATGGATGTCTGCGTATGCGTTTATTCTATGTTTGTGTGTGTGTGTAGCTGCCTTGCGGCGGGCTGATGTCTCGTCCAAGGCGTCCTACCGTTTGTGTAAAAATGATTACGAAACTGAAGAAGAGGCCAAAGGGCTGTAGAGCCATTGATGAGTGAAAAATGAAAAATTCAATTAAGGCATATGTGAGGAATGGAGGCATAGCTTCGCTATTCTTGACCCCGACACTAGATGGAGATGAGTGGCGAGTTTCACACCCTGGCCGCTTTACCCCCGCGGAAACAGAGATCCCGCTAGACATTGAATAGGAGGCTGGGTGGGCCCGAGAGGCTGTCCGGACGCTGTGAAATAATAGAAAACCCTTTTGCTCCTGCCAGGAATTGAATTTGGGCCGTCCATCCCGTCGCTGTACCAAGTGAACAATTCAAGCTCCTAGCGACGTTTCTACTAAAACACTAAACCTGGTAAAACAATATCTACTAACCGATAAACTATTTAATAAATTACTTTCGGCATAGGTGGACACCGTCATACCGACAAACGATATCTTCTAGTTCTGTCATCTTCTGCTTCTCTTTGTAACTACCTGCTACGCGCCTAACGGAAGAATATAGACGAAAGAACAAGCCTTGGTAGTATGTAAGGAATTACCCATCAGTAATACAAAGGAAGGTGTCACCATTTGTTATATAAGCCTCCTCGCTTCCCACGCTCTCCTCAGTATACCTTTACAGACCTACATGTTCTAGAATCGACCACGAATAACACGCACAAATAGTCAACAGCAAACCATCTCCTACATTTCATATGTCCACATCAAAATATTATCAGCACTCACATAATGGACACGATACACCGAACTAAAGGACTATTCGCTCGTTTCTGACCCACTGTGATATAATGCATGAGAATATTAGCGTCCTGCTTCACAATTTTGTCACTTGATACACCTAACAAACACAGTCTTCAGTGCAAATCTCCGTGCGGGTCCTGGTGCTACACGATATACACGTATTTCAATCTCACAAGGACCATCGTCAGGTGTGTATGTTGCTGCACACTGACTCAAAATTTAAACATTATAAATTTAAAAGGTTGATAAATACGTGTAGAAGGGCGTGTGTTGTGGCGCCATGACATGCGCCTGTATACATCTTGGTAAGTGCGGTTCGTCTCTTGCTGTTATGTACACTGTTGTTACACCACGTAACTCAAGTCCACTAAATGTGCCAACACTAAGGAATTAACTTCTATGGTTGGAGTGAAAGGATTGGATTCATCTGGCTCAAGATAAGGATCAATGAACGGCTCTCGGGGCACAGCAATGAACTTTCGGGTTCCGTGACGTGCTAGGAATTTCTTGAGTAGCTGACCAACTGTCAGTTTCTCAAGGCGGACTCAACTCCATAGAGTTAATTTAATTTTTTAATTCGCTTAGTGGGAGGTGGAGTTCAACTGGGTCCACTCGGCACGGCGGCCACTGATTGGCCTATTGCAGCCTGCCCCGGGTGATTATGATGAGGGAGAATTTGGTGGAATGAAGATCGGTAGGGGAAACCGAGGTACTAGGAGAAAACCAGCCCCAGCGCCACTTTGTCCAGCACAAATCCCACTTGACCAGACCCGGGATAGAACCCGGGCCGCCGCGGTGGGAAGCCAGCGACTAACCGCTTGAGCTATGGCGCGGCCAACTCCACAGAGTTAGCTGAAGGAAAACTGGAACAAGAAGACTTGTGAGTGAAATGTTTTGATCAGCCTCTGCATCTTGGTACGTGGCATTTATTTGTTGACATATTACAAACATTTCTGTTATGAATTCGTCTTAATAATCACAGCAATATCTTTTTTTGCAAATGTTTCACAGAAATAGTTTTGCCCCTAAATATTGCACACACATTTTGCGACACGTCCTCCTCTTGGTTATGTTATTCTCCTGAAAGGAATGAGTTCAGTCCCAAAACTGCTGACTGCAGCAGTCCACTTCCATCCACTGTAGTTGTCACGACAGAAGACCCTCTGCAGGGTAAATAACAGAATCTGTAACTGTATACCGATGGTGTTGGCTTGACGCTCTGGTTTCATACTCGGGAGGTCCTCGCTTTGCATCTTGGCTGGGACATCGATTATCCTGATTGAGGTTCTTCATGGTTTTCTTCAGATCCTGAAGGAAAATGTTGGTACAGCACCCAAATTTGACTACGACCGCCTCCGTCCAAATCCCTTCGTATTCACCAGTTATCTACCATCCTACCTTTCGATGTCATACTGACTTCTCATAGCGCTGTAAAAAAAAATCACGAAATGTCGCATAATGGAATTGGTTTTCAGATTTGCTTTATGTGGCGGAATAAAAATGGGTGCAAACGTTATGCAATTTAGACGGAAAAGGGACGAAGGGACAGGAGGTTGGAGAAACCTGCATAATGAAGAGCTTCATAACTTGTACTCTTCTCCAAGTATAATTAGAAATATCAAGTCAAGGAGGGTGAGATGGGCAGGGCATGTAGTACAAATGGGTAGAAGAGGAATGCATATAGGATATTTGTGGGAAAGCCAGTGGGAAAGAGACCATTAGAAAACCAATATGTAAGTGGGTGGATAATATTAAAATGGAGATATAGGATGAGGTGGTGTGGACTGGATCGATCTGTCACAGGTAGGGACCAGTGGAGGGCTCTTATGAACACGGTAATGAACCTTTGGGTTCCATAAAATGCTGGAAAATTCTTGAGTAGTTGCAGATTTTGCCTCTCCTCAAGAAGGGCTCAACTCCATAAGTAAGTAAATATTAATGTTATGTTTATTATGGGTGTGGAACGTTGCAACCCAATCTAGGTGTACAGGAATTGGGGGTGTTTCAGTACAGGATGCTGAGTCAAATCAAGCGCGATAAGACGGGCCATGCATGTAGTAAGCATGGAAACACGAGAAATGCCTGTGACATTTTAATAGGAACGTCTGAAAGGAACAGTCCAGTCGGGAAACCTAGACATAGATCAGAGGACAATATTAAAAAAGAATTAAAGAAATTTTGTGTGGGGATGTGGACTTGATTCATCCTACTCAGAATGGGATCAAGTGACGGGATGGTCTCAACACGGCAATGAACCTTCGGATCCCATGGAACAGCCCACCGCTAAATCCTGTTCCGGCCGAGTTAATCTTCATATCTCATTTCACTAAGATCCAATTTACCATTATCCTCCCATCTGCTCCTACTTTCTTTTTATTGCTACTGGGGTGGGACTAAGTCCCTTGTACTGCAACCAATTCTAGCCTATTGTACCAGCCCCAGATGATAGGTGAGGGTGATTGTGGAGCAACAGGTGGAATGAAGATTGGCAGGGGAAACCGAAATAGCCGGAGAAAACCGGCCCAAGCGCCACTTTATCCAACACAAATCCCACTTGAGCAGACCCGGGATCGAACCCGGGCCTCCACGATGGGAAGCCAGCGACTAACCGCTTGAGTTATGGCGCGTATCTGCTCCTAGCTCTCTGACGTTGTCTCTTCCCTTCCGGATTTCCGGCTTTGTATTTATCCTATGTTAAATGCGTGCTATATGCCCTACCCATCACATCCTCCCCTTGATTTGCTCGGGCTAGTAGTGCTGGTTGGAGAGTGGAAATAATGAAACACGCACTGTGCATGTGCAGTTTTATGTGGCTTTGCATTACACATCGAACTACTTAAATCTAGAACCGGGATAGCTCAGTCGGTATAGCGACTGGCTACGAGGTGGACGTCCAACGAGTCGGAGTTCGAGTCCCGGTAGGGTCAAGAATTTTCTCTTCTCCGTGTTGTCCAGACAGTCCCTTCGGCCCACCCAGCCTCCTATGCAAAGGGTACCAGGGGCTCTTTCTCCGGGATAAATCCTTAGGAGCGTGAAGCTGAGCACTCACCTCCAGCTAGTGCCGAGGCCAAGAAAACGTGCATCTATACATCCACTCCCCCATAGGTCTTCATGGCCTAGCGCTAAATTAGTTAAGCACAGGGACAATTTTACCTTTTTAGTACTTGCTCTGTAGCGGAATTTCTTCCAAACTAGACAATCCACAATGGTTACAGTCTGTACCCACAATTGGTCTCCCTTGATTTCTCCCAGGCGGATGGGCGAAACCATATTTCAGTTCAAAATATGAACTTCAGTTTCTTCCCCCCCTCCCATGAGGTTTATTGTTAAGTGAGTCTGGAGAGGGGTACAAACTCTGTGACCACATCAATACAATCTCTGCTTGACGTTCCAAGATATACGTAATTTCTTGCCATTATTTTATAAGTGTTTTGCGTGTGTCAGCTAAAAATTAAAACTGTAGCAGCTCAGGAAGTTTGTGGAATGTTATGACGATCTGATATGGTGAGGTGGGGACAGACACAAGTTCAGAAGCACTTGTATTGCAACGCGGACAAGACGTATTTCAGAATTACGCAGAAGTGGATAAAAGCTGCTTCTTCATGACAGCACCTCTACAGGTGAGTGCTCTTGTCTCTATAGGCCTAACTTCCTAAATCGTTATGCCTTATTTGAACGAAGTGAATAAATTAAACATATAATGAGAGAATCCTCGTTGTTCATCTTTGTGCGTATTTTTTTTACTGAAAATACTAGACAAATTCCAGTGAAATAAAGTNGTAATACAAGTAGAAGTCTAGGCTGAAAACCGTTAGATTATTTTAATTCTGTCTCTTTAGTTCTGTGTGCTATGTTACGACTTCGAATAGTAGGATATCAGATGAATTACAAAGGATTTGAAAGGAAGCGGCCGTGGCCTGATCGAACTACTATCCAGGAAGTTGCCAGGAGGGACTCAGGAAGACCACATAAAAGCCCAGTCAGAATATCCGGTGGCCCGGATGGGATTCGAACCAAGCAGATCTCGAAGACGAGTTTACAGTGTTACTGCTATACCATTACCTTCTATTGCAGTTCCTTCATGCCGGTTCCAGCGTGATGTACAAGCCGAGTAGCATCTTTAAGGATTATAGCAGAGGTTCTCGATCTTTGGAATTCCGCGACCTTGTAAAATAAAACATAAAATTACACCACTATCCCATCTCTGACGGTCAGCGGATAGTGCAGTTCTGCACATTGTTGCAGGCCTCTGTCAGGTTGTACGGTGACAACAGGAACGTAAACAGTTTTACAGCCTCTCTGCACCTGCAGTAGGCCATAAAATGTGCAGTTCTGCACACTGTTGCAGGCCCTTGTCAGTTTGTACGGTGACAGCAGGAACCCAAATAGCTTTACAGTAAGCTGTAAAATGTTGCTGTAAGGTGAAGACGAACAAACTCATGATATGCTTCGCTGGCTACAGTTACATTTTCCAAACTTACCTTTATTAACCTTACTGACTTGTCAAAAGTATCCATGGATAGGACTGTTTAAATTATTCCCAAGAAGTCTGCAATTTCATTGGAGATGTCGTGGCCCACAGTTTGACAAACCTTAAATGTTAGAATAAACCGTATGTTTATCCAATTAAGTATACTAATACCAAAAAAAGGTTTAATTACTTTTGAACAATGCGTACCAGTAAGATCTGGAAAAATATTCTGCGAGCAATTCATAACACCACATTGGATATTAGGCGGTCAACACACTGGAGTTGCTAAAGTTATGTATTTCCCACCTGTAGTGACATGAACTACTCATGATTCAAGAAGACTTGTCAGGACATTCAAAAGCTCTTTAGGAGCGCACACTCAGATTCAAACACTATCACCCTTCATTTATTTAGCATACTTAAACTGGAGTGAAAATTGCAAGTAATGCCCTACATGTGGTACCCTTTTGCACCGTAGTTAACAGTGAGAGCTGATATTGCAATGTATCTCTCTGAATTTCAGGGTTGCAATATGGGACGAGGGCGCCTGTGGTGGCCTTTGGTGGTTGTGGTGATGGCAGGTGTTTTGATGGCCAATACTGTTATGGCTGCACCCGAGCCAGTGGAGGAAGTTGTAGTTTCAGTTGACACTGCCAAGTCAGTTAAAGTTGTCGATGAACGATTCCTCAGCCTAACTATTGATCCAGCCATGTTGTTATTTGGAAAGGAATTTAGGTGAGCATTTTCAATATAGTGTCAATCCAACTTTGCCGACAAGCGGCGGTCGCTCGGTCGGTATAGTTCGCTTGTGGACTAGAATCATGGAGTTTGTTTGTATTTTCAATATAGTTCAAACATAGTTTTGGCCAATAGCAGCAATATCCTAACATGACACAATGAGGCATGTCATGATTCTATTGTTCACATAATATTTGTAGCTTGATTAAATAAACAGGTATGATTTGGGTAGATAAAGTAGCACACAGGGAAAAAACATGAAATGCAGATAAAATTTTGGTTGAAAATGTCAAGGAGCCAGGCCAATTGAAAGTGTAGATAGAAGGATGACATTACTACACATACTAGGAAAATGAGTGTTAAAATTAGAATTATACTCCATTTTTGTGCACATGACATTTAACCTTGAAATTCCAAAACAACACACAATTTCTTGACCAGATGAATAATCATGAACTGCTCATAGAAGACTCTGTACCATGAAATCACTTAGTTAATATGTCAATATATTTATACTGGACATTTGATATTATGTTAATCTGGCAGACAGACCACTGACTAACAAACTAACTAAGTAATGAAGTAACTCATTTCAGTATTGCTTAGTGTTTTTCTGAGAAGCTACTGAGATGGTCAAGAAATTCACTAAGAAATTCCCCACATTTTTGGAACCTAAAAATTCCTTATCGTCTTCACAAGATTACCCTTGCACACTAAACTAAGCCACTTGAATCCACTTCATTCTCCCATACCTGATTCCCCCAAGATCCATTTTAATAACATCCTTCAATTTGTACCTATGCCTCCTCCCTTGGAGGTTTCTGACCAAAATTTTGTGTCTGTTATCGCTTCAACCCCCCCCCCCCGTTCCCATTGGATAGGAAGCTGGGTGAGCCCCAGAGACGGTCTGGACAACATGGAGAACAGAAAATTCTTGACCCTATCAGACTTGAACTCTGACCCCTTGGTTATTGAGCTAGTAACCAATCATTATACCGATTGCACTCTCCTGGCTTCCACACCTATACAGAGCAAAAAGTAAAGTCACATGATTTATTTTGTTTCCATACATTTGTAAACCACTCAGGCAAGTTTTGGTATTACACAGTCACAAGTTGCTGACTGGAAATAGCCATTCCAACTACAAGATATTTCCCTGAACTCTGTCCAGTGAGTTGTTTGTTGTGTATTGATTCAAATGTTTGATTCTTAGTTCTGGGAATATGAGGACCCTACGCATGGCAAGAGGCCTTGCTCCAGCATACCTGAGACTTGCAGGACCTGACAGCAACCACTACCATTTCCAGAGGTCTCTCATGAATGGAGCTCCTCATGACAACTACACTATCACAGGTCAAAAATGCAGTGGAATCAGTCAATTCAATAGGTTTTTGCAAACATACAGGAAATGAATACATAATGGAGAGCTCATGCTTATTTTTTGTGTGTGCATTTCAATTCTGAAACTATTAAAAAGAATTTTATTACCTCTGTTATTTGAGGTTTACATTAATGGTAGATTGTTGTCTTATGTGTTATGATTCCCTGTAGACTTTTATGTGGTTACCAACATTTCAGAGGAATCTACTGCTTCCTTCTTCAGGTTAGGAGAAAAAATGCCATATGATATACACGTATATGATGCAGGTGGAATGGTCCAAAAGGATCCAAACCATGAAACTGATAATGAACACTACTTTCTTCTGGGATGTGATACTGTGTAGTCTAGCAGAAGTTCACTGATGATGTTTTGGAGGAATATACTACGTACATCTTCAGGGTTGATTGATGAGTAAGCCAAGCAAGCAATGAGTTAAGATGTTCTGCTTACTTTTTGCTCGATATATACTTCGAGCCCACGATTGAGGTTGGGGGGGTGCTTTTTCTGGGCTATTTAATGGTGTTTCCCATGTGAAGACTGCATAGCACTGGATGGTAAGATGAATTATTGCTGGAGAACCGAAACAAATTGAAAGGAAGTAGTTGTGGCATAATCAAGGTACTATCTTGGAATTTGCCTAGAGGGATGGAGGAAAACCATGAAACACTTTAGTTAGGATGTCCTGGCTGAGATTTGAACCAAGGCCCTCCTGAATACAAGTCTAGAGCAACCTCTTCAGTGAAATCAATACTGACAGATTCATCACCTTGTACAAATAGTATTCATATATGGCAGAAGTAGTTTGAGTGACACGGTTGTTATCACCCTACATACATGTTCCCTATCATTAATTCACTCTCATAAACATTATTTGTTTGCATTGCAGAGGTACACTGGATTGATCTGAACCACTTTGCTCGTGAGGCTGGACTGGATCTGGTTGTGTGTTTGAACATCCTAGAAAGATCTGATGGTGTGTGGGACTCGAGGAACAGCCTGCATCTTGTTTCTTTCTCCAATGAAATGGGTTATAATGTTTCGTGGCAGCTTGGTTATGGTATGGAAAACAACATAATAACATTTATATTAACTTCATGGAGTTGAGCCCTGCTCGAGAAGCTGCCAGTTGTGCAACTACTTAAAAACTCCCCAACATTTGGTGGAAGCCAAAGGTTCATTATGATGTTCACAGGAGCCCTCCACTGGTCCCTACCTGTGACAGATCGATCCAATTCACACTACCCCATCCTATCTCTCCATTTTAATATTATCCACCCACCTACATCTTGGTCTTTTAATGGTCTCTTTCCCACTGGCTTTCCCACCAATATCCTCTATGCATTCCACTTCTACCCATTTGTACTACATGCCCTGCCATCTCATCCTCCTTGACGATCATTCTGATTATACTTGGTGAAGGATACAAGTTATGAAGCTCCTCATTATGCAGTCTTCTCCAACCTCCCATCATTTCATCTGTCTTTGGTCCAAATATTCTCCTCAGCACCCCATTCTCAAACACCCACAGTCCATGTTCCTTCATTAATGTCACAGAGACCAAGTTTCACACCCACAGAGAACCACATGTGAAATTATAGTTAATTACTGGATTTTGTCTGTAACTATCTGAAGCATTGCAGTTTTACAGCTTGGGATAAGGTCCTATGCCAGACTTTTATACTGATGCTGATGAATATTTATTTATAATATCAACATGAAATTTCTTGAACAGTTAAGTAATTATTCATTTGTAGGGGAATATTTTGTAACAGGATATTAGCAGAACATATTTATGACCTTTCTTTTACATTTATTTCTTTATGTGGAACCGTCCTGGTAGTTTTATGAACACACTTGCCTTAAAGATAGATTGAACTTTACTATGGCAGTGAAAAGTAAATTATAAATATTCATAAATAGTTGAACAGAATAATGATTGAGGAAACAACAATCATACCATGACACAGACACACTATTAATGTAGAATTAAATGTCTGTTATTTTTGTAGAACTACAAGAGCTAGGGGTGGACATATCAGCAGCCCAGTTTGGGCAAGATGTAGCTAAACTCAGGCACCTCCTGAATACCTTCCCACGGTATCGACACTCCCTCATCCTAGGACCTGACATTACAAAATTCAAAAAGCAGCAGGATGTGGATTTTCTGATCAACTACCTTCATGAGGGAGGCTCAGCTCTAGATGGCATCACTTGGCACCCGTGAGTGTTTCATTTCCCTTAGGTAGATATTTTTATTTCTGAGATTAGTGGCAACAGGTCTGACTGAATCCAGATTCTCTTCAATACATACTTTTCTGTTAACAATCAGATCACCAATGTCGCTGATCCCAAACACATGAATAGTAACAATACAGTGATATCCCTTGTTTATGGTTTGTTTTGGCACAAGTGAACTTGATGTCAGTTGAGGAAAATATTGATGTAAGTGATTTAATATGGGAATGGCTAACTATAGATCATTTAAATTGAAGATTAAACATGGAAGAAGACTTAAATAAAGGAATATTAAATGGGGATTGAACTGTATTTGTTATTATAACAACAACCAATAACCTGATGGCAGGAGTACAACCAACTCCAAAATCCATGTATTATCAAATGTACCTCAGACGGTGTTCAATGTCCTACATAACTGGAAATTTAGCACTACTTTTGTTGAAGGGGTTATGATGAAATTTGGTAGTTTCTAGTTATAACATCTCTCAATAGCTGTCTGTCGATATAGAATCTACCCTCTACTCCAGTTTCTGCCTATGTAACAGCTATTACTTAACTGGTATGAGTAATATTATGTGTTGGGCACAAGAACTCTTTTACTATGGAAGAATATCCAAGAGAAAACTTTCGCGTTAGTAGTACTGAAACTTCAGTTTCTAATAATTGAGAGATCACAAGTTATGCTGTAGGGCTTCATATTTGATAATAAGAAAGGTGTTGCATGAAACTTTAAAATAAGGATTGCTTTATATCCATCCAGTACACTGTTCTGCTATTTTCTTTCCAGGGAATTCACTCAGCGGAAGAGTAACTTGACAGTTGAATCTGAGGATGTGGAAGCAACATTGGATCAGCTGATATTTGGCAAGGATATGCTGAGTAAGATTCTAGAAATATCTGCAACCAAAAAGCCATTGTGGATTGGTAAGTAATAAACATCCGAACTCCACTGTATGTCATGGACTTACAAAGAAAGCAATTTACATTTATACACTGGGAAACGTGGATCACATCCTAAACAGGACAAAGGCTGTGAATCAATCAAGTAATCCATTCAGGACATAGGAATTAGAAACTTCTGATGCATTGAACTGATAAGTGAATCATCATATATTCTCATTTTGTTTCTGTTAACATACTATGTGTTCTGACATTGTTTATGTCATTATTGGGTATAATGCAATTGAAGAGTTGTGTAAGTCCTACTGTTGGTGGCTTAACAAACAAGACTGACATAGCTAGTAGGCAGCTCCAGGTTATGCAATCAATGCTGTGTTAAAGTGTTTTTGTGTTCTCACATGAATATATTTTTAAAAATGTTTTTCAGGTTATCATTTTGTATAAAAAGTAAATCTGTAGTATGACATGACTTTCTGCTCACTCTGTATTGATATACATTCTTCACTAATACTAATAACAGATCTGACAATATATGATTCTGTATTTCAGCATCCCGTTGCAATTGTTCAACTTAACGTCCATTATTTGTCATCCGTCGATATTGCCTAGGCACTAGTAAAGACAACACCACACGCTGTGGAGGAAACACGCAACCCAGGGGCATATGGCAGTCAAAACTGAAAAGTAGGCTATGAACGTGAGGAGCAAGCTGCTGAGACAAAACACCCTGAACAGACATACATTTATGTAAATGGACATGACGCCTCGTGTGAGGTGAAATAATGTGCACCAAAATAATGTGGGTATAATAGAAACTTTAAAGGGTTTTATCTGGTTTTACCTTGAAAAGAGGATTATAGCGTGTNAAATAAGGCAGTGTAGCAGTTTTAACATAATTTAATAAAATATTTGTAACATATCAAGACACCTGAAGATGGCCATTTGGGGCCGAAACATGTAGTGTCAAGGTGTATAATGTTAAACTAAAATTAAAATTGAGTAGTGAATGGAAGAGTGTTGCAATATTAATGGATGATAAATAATGGACGTTAAGCTGACAATATATGTATCAATTTTCTGCCAATGTACAAACTAAATCTGTCAGTTATATTATGAATATAATGACATATTGAATCTTGAATCACCCAATATATTAATAGTACATGATTAGGGAGCGTGTGAAGATTTGATAATTAGTTTACTTAAGATCTACTCTTTCATGTAACTGTTTATTAAACAGACTTCTCACAAAATCATGACAATGTAATATAAACCTATGCTTTTGGAAATAAAAGTTCCTGGTACACTTTTAATCTACAAGAGATGAAAATATTGTCATTGGAATGGCTGGTGCACTCAATTGTCCTGATCTTCAAGACAACTGAGTTTCAAACACTATAACTGATGGATCTGTTGTTTTCAGGAGATGGACAGAGGGAAAGTTCTCAGGGATGGTTCCTGGATGCCCTAACATGGGCAGACAAGCTTGGGGTTGCTGCACTGATGGGAGTGCAAGTCATCATGCGGCAGCCTGACCTCCATGGACTCTTTACACCTACACCAGTAAGTACCAACATTCAAGGTATAGGCATCTACTCTTTGTGTTCACAACCACAACCTGGAAGTGACAATTGTTCCTGAACATATGCTACCCTCAATTATGAAGACAGAAGATAGAAATATTCCTGTGCTTAAATAAGAACCATTCATTCATTCATTTCCTTTATTTTTCAATTATCCATACAGGTAAAAAACCTTGGATGTGGAAATAGTCCATTTGATAATAGATGTGTCCAGATACATATAATAAATTACATGAGTTACATAATTAAAATCACATACATTAGTCAATTAACATAAATAATAAAATAAAAAATAAAAAACTTAATACAATTTAATTTAAATTATCTAAATTAATTGAATTAAATGCAATACAAATTTACATTGCTGGTCAAAGGGCATTAGTTCATCCCTGACATACTGACATGACATAATGTTGCCTTGACACAGGACTACTGGGTCTCGCTGGTACATAAGGCCCTGGTTGGGAGAGTTGTTTTGGATGTGAAGCAAAGCTACAACACCAACAGCCATATTCATATGTTCTGCCATTGTACACACCATTACACAACTTGGCTGTTTGGGGAGGCAGTCAGCTACAAGCATGGGGCCATCACGTGCTTCGGCATCAACCACTGGAACACCAAGATCAGGATAAATTTGAAGCTTGGTTCCACAGGGCAGAGGAATGAGGAAGTGCATCAGTACCTGTTAACATCTGCTGGAAATGGACAGAAATCAAGGTAATGCAAGAAAAACTGAATGGTTAAACAGCCAGGGTAGAATGCAATGTTATATGTAGAATCGATGAGGCAGTTGCGATGGCTGTATTGTGGCCAGAAGAAGACTCTCTGGCCCTGCTGGGGACTGAATCCCAGTTTTTAGCCTATAACAAATCATTTTACTGATTGAGGTGTCCCGCTTCCCAATGGTAATGAACCTCATGGAGAAGAATCCATCTTGAAAAAAAATATCCATTTAGCTAATTCAAGAAATTCACCACCTTTCATGAAACCTGAAGGTTCATTGCCAACGGCATGTCACTGGTGCCTGTCTTGAGACACATGAATTTATTCCACTTCCCCTTACCATATTTATTAAAGTCCATTTTAATATGATTAATAATATAATATAATTAATATTTTTTGATGAATGGATTTGAAGTATGAAGAGTGGGATGTTCTGGGTTGTAATGCTGTGTAGTTTGGCAGAAGTCCATATTCCTCCAAAATGTCCATGGGCTTTTTCCTAACTAGATGGTCTTACAACCCAGGAGATCATACTCTTCAGAGTCACCAGTCTGAGAACCTCAAATCTAGGGTGTGGAAGTCCATTTTTCCAACCTCATTTACAGCTAGATGTCTCACAGTTCTGCCTATGATTCATCCAACAGCACTTACATAATTCGCTCCACTAGCAATAATGGATTGTCTGCTTTCATTTCTTTCAGAGAAACACTTCTGAATGGAAAACCCTTAAATCTTGAGGATGAAGGTATGTTGCCAGTCCTGTCTCCAGATATCCATCACACAGGACGGAATATTATTGTGACACTCCCTCCTGCTTCCATTGGCTTCTGGGTACTTCCTGATGTTAAGGTAAAACCGTGTCTCACAGCTCCATTTGGCAGCAGATCAGAGGCAAGTAGCAAAGCCACACATCACAGTCAGGTACATTCAGGTGAGGTAAGGGGTGAATTTACCAAGCAGTACTCAGATGAAATTAAAAGGAAACGACATTCTAAAAAACCTGGATTAACGGGTAAAAATATTACATTTTCCAGCAAAGACATGAAAGACGCTAAATCTACCAGAGATGTAGATGATTTTGAAAGTGGCAATACAAACGCCATAGAAGAATCTGATGTGAACGTCAAGAGTGAGAACTTTAGGAGGAAAAGGAATGATATAGACAAGGATGCTCACGGACGGTACAGGAGATATGTGTTAGAGAGTGGTAAATATATGATACCAGGGCTACAGCCTGACTACTTCCAACCAAGCAATGGAGTCAGCATAAGAAACCTAATACGGAGGAGAAACCAGGCAGAGAGATTGAAGAAACTTGCCAGAACATCAAAACAGGATGGTAACATTCCCATAATATTAAATGAGCCCCATCACCATGTAAGTTTTGAAGATATGAATGACGGATTTCCGGTGTTCAGTTCTGATGAATATGATGTCAATCCATTCCCAGCAGGTACAATTTATATTCGACAGAGTGGTGAATCATCTGATGAACGTAACCGTGATTATGATTACATAGACAAAGATGAGAACATGTATGAGGAGGATGAAAATGTCTTACCTGAACTAGAATATTTTCATGGACCCGCGGAATATTTTGAAATATTTCAGAAATCGGGAGGTGTTGCAGACGAAAAGCTTGTTGGTTATGGTACTGAGCTTTCTGAAGCTGAATCCATTGTATTAATAAAATCAAGTCAACTAGAAGAGGAACAGAGTGGTGATGATGAAGATGATGATAAGGTGATTCAGGAACAGGGCCCAACAGAGGAAGAGGATCGTAAAACAAAAGCAGCTACAGATAGCATGCTCCATAAATACTTTTCTGAGACTTACAAACAAGATTTTAGTGATGAAGGGGAAGATTTTGAGACTGTAGGAAAAGTAAGAGAGAAAAATAAAACAGACTTGAAGAAGGAAATGAGTAATAGCAGAAAGGCTGAGGAAAGAAAGAGTGAGTACAGTGATGAAGTAATATCAAAGATGGCTCACAATATAAATGAAAATCCTGATTCTTCTATTCATACTGTAAAAACAAAGAAAGCAACCATTAATGATCATAGTTTACATAATAATGATTATGATGATGATGGTTATGTACCAGTGGAAGAAGTTGAAATTACAAGAAGAAGCCACAAAATTATGGGAACAGCTACTGAAGATCATGATAAAAATAATCCTAGCAATGCCAAAGAATACTACAAAGAAGGTTCACGCATTTTCAGAACAAGAAGGCAGGGAAAAGGAAACTCTAAGAATACCAACCAGAGCTCAGAGGAAGATGATCAAGACAGCTATGATAAAATTTTGAACCATGCGTCAACCAGTGCATCACAGGGTACTACAAGACAGTCTAAGGGCAGGGCCAGAAAAGTAAGCCATCGAGTTATTTATGGTAACAGTGATGAAGATGATAGTAGTTCAGATACCAGGAGAAACTATTCCAAGCAGACAAGCAAAAACAGTGTCACACAAAAGTTGTCTCAGAGGAGATCCAAAGATAGAAATGAACATGTTGAAAGTGAATCAGAACCTCGAACACAATCTCACAAGTACAATGTCAAGTCAAGGCTGCACAATCAAGAGACGCTTCATAAAACTCAGGAATCTCATGAGGAAATTGATTCTTCCAGCCACAATGATGATGACATTGAAGAAAAAGTAATGAAGACTTACTCTAAGAAAAGAAAATATGAAAGAACACCATATCATTCTCAGCAGAATGTAAGTAACAACAAAGTCTACAAAGGCAGTGAATCAGATGCTACAATGAAAGGACAGACACTGACAGAAAATATTAATCCAAGCTACAGAAAGGAATCATCAAGAAGAGGACCAAGCAATGCATACAGGACAACTGGACAAAGAGCAACACAAAATAATGTGTTATTTGAGGAGCAAGACGGAGAAGAATCCAACAAATATATGAGGCAAAATTCAAGAAAAGTAGTAACAAGTAGTGAATCTGAGGAGAGGTCAGGAATAGATGAAGAAGAGGAGGAAGCAACTGAAGCTAAGATAAAGGCAAATAAATCATGGCAAAGGTATCATGCCACAATGAGACAACCTGCAAGCAACAGGGAACTTAGATATCGAGTGAGGAGAGATGCGGCACCACAGTTGCCAGTGCTGGTAACATCTGTAGAAAACGGACAAAAGGAGACTGATGTTCAGAATAAAGACACAGAATTAGAGACAGTATCCGATCTGACCAATGCTAAATTACAAATCAAGGCTCGAGATGTCAAAGAGAACAAGCAATTGGAAACAGCTTCCCAAAATGTACCCACAGCTAAGATAATTAGCTCGAATGAAGCTCTACAATGGAACAACACAGTGAAATCAAACAAAGGAAATAATAAACAGATAGAAGAAGGTGACAGTGCAGAAAATTATATCACTTTAAAGGAATGTGAAGGAAGCAGTGGCAGTGTACACAAAGAATGTAAGGATCTGTCTAAAGAAATTAATAAAAATCCACAACAAAAAATGAATGGTATGTCGCTGGATAGGGATAACCATCAAGAGTCTAAAGGACCACTTTCAAACAGTAAGGTTCTTAACAATAGATCACTACATTACATGGCATCAGGACAGCTGCAAAATGATGGATATGTCAAACAAGTTACTGGTACCAGCCCCATGTATAAACCATCCGATGACATCACCATTAATGGCAGTACAAAGGTAGGTGCTGATGAGGGTGATTTGATAATGACGAATATTACAACAGATGTGGATGGGGCCAAAAAATTTCACAAGACTGAAGACGATGCATTAAACATGAAGTTGTATCAGGACCCAGGAACTGCTGTCATTAGGTTACCCAAGGCTGTTGCAACACACACCAATCTGCAGCACCGTCCTACAAAAGTGGATGCTGGAGTGAATGATTTAATTTCAATGAAAGAAACGCCCAGTAAGAATATAAAGAACACAGCTGAGACTGGTGAAAAAATGGAAAAGAATGGAGAATTTAAAGTGGGCACACCAGAGAAAATGGTTGAATTTCAACATGCAGCTGAAAGCAACCACATTCAAGAAGATGGAAAACTCTTAAAAGTAGAACAAAGAAGTGCCTTAACACTGCATGACTTGGTTCCAGCGTCTGTTACTGAAAAATCTAATGAGGAAATGACAGTATCGGTGCCAGGTGTAAATGAATCACAATGGACTCAGAATCAAGAAATAAATCAGAGTGAACACAGACGGCTGCACTCATCAGAAGGGCAAGAACCAGAAAAGGAAAGCCTCAGGGAAGAAGTTCAGCATGATGGAGAAAGGGAGAGGTTGTCGCATGAGGAAACTATGCAAAGAAATGAAATAGAAAATGTGAAAATACCTTTGGAGGCTGGAAAACAGAGACCTGTAAAAGGTAAAACATCTTCAGAAGAAGGTAAATGTGAAACAGTTCCAGAAGTGGCTGAGACACAATTTGGAAACACTGTTTCATTTCAGTCATTATCAAATGATGTAGCTCCTAAGCAGACTTCTCCTATAAACAGCAAGACTAATAGTGACAGCTCTGATGCTACAGCCACAGAACCATCTGAATCTCAAGTAAGAATTGTTATGAACAAGTTACCAGTTAATGATGGTATTAAAGGCAATATTCATTCCAACAGTAACAGAACTGGTACAAATGTGCCAAAGTCTAGCCATGCTCTCAAACTGAATTCGAAAAATGTTCATGATAAAGTAATGAAAGCAGAAGATGAAGTATTTAAAATAACAGATAACATCAGGGGTTCCAGAAGTGCACAGCAGTCATTAGCGGATGGTGATCCAGACAATCATGGCTTGACACAGACTGTTGACAACGTTCCTGAACAATTCAAGATAAAGAATGGAGCTCAGAAGCAGCATCATATGCTAGGTGCTGAAGGAGGTTTGAAAAATATACCACATTCTATGAAAGGCAACGTTGCAGTCTCATCTGATGAAAAGGAGACGGATGGTACTAATGGCAAGTTAGAAAATCTAGCGAAAAATTACATTGCAGATGATGAAGATGTTTCTGCTGCCTTTGTAAGGAATGCTAAGCATACTGGTCACTTGACACCGATTTCACCTAGAAGAGAAAAGTCACATATTCATCGTGTGGATAAGGCAAATGCTCATACAAGTTTACATCCATCTTCATTAGCCAGATCAAATCACATTAAGGCAGAGTTAGAAAAGAGACGCCTAGAAAGATTTCATGCTTTGGCAGCACATCGTGCCAAACTTAAGGAAGATCTTCTGAAGATTAGGGCTATGGCTGCAGAAGGAAAGTTGAAACTGCCACATCATATAATACGTCGTGACACAACACAAGATGAAAATACAGAGTCACTAATGTCTGACAATGTTCTAGATGATGCAAGTGACCATGTAAAGTTACAGCTACCTACAGTCACTAAGACAGAAAAAATTAAAGCAGAACTGGAAAAGAAACGCCTAGAAAGGCTTCATGTTCTGGCAGCACAGCGTGCCAAACTTAAGGAAGACCTTCTGAAAATGAAGGTTATGGCTACAGAAGGAAAGTTGAAACTGCCGCATCATATAATACGTCGTGACACAACACAAGATGAAAATACAGAGTCACTAATGTCTGACAATGTTCTAGATGATGCAAGTGACCATGTAAAGTTACAGCTACCTACAGTCACTAAGACAGAAAAAATTAAAGCAGAACTGGAAAAGAAACGCCTAGAAAGGCTTCATTTTCTGGCAGCACAACGTGCTAAACTTAAGGAAGACTTTCTGAAAATGAAGGTTATGGCTACAGAAGGAAAGCTGAAACTGCCACATCATATAAGGCGCCGTGACACAACACAAGATGAAAATACAGAGCCACTAATGTCTGACACTGAATCCACAGAGTTTCATCCACTAATGTCTATCAGAAATGAAGACAGAAAGGGTTATAGTAACAGAGATAATCCTTCACTTGGATCACAGAATGTTAGAGAGACTGACAGTGATCTGAGCTCACACAAACAAGAAAGAAATGACAAACACTTCCCTCAAGATACACACAGTTGGCTGGAACAGGTGTTCCTTCCAGTGGCCATGGTAACGGATCAGAGGGATGTTGAGATACCAGCATTTGATAGTCAGCAGGTTTACAAACCTCCACATGATTCAGAAACCGAGATCCTAGCAAGGAATTATGTTTCAGGAAGTGAATTAGTTCATGTTCCCAACCATGAAGGCAAAGCTTTGGTTGAAGAATCTAAAATTTTAAATTCTGCAACCAGCCCATTTTTCATGTTTTATGACATGGGTCCTAAACAAAAGTATGTAGAAAGTTTGCTTCAAGAAGGGCAAGGTAAAGAGAGGGATTCTGGCAAAGAAAATGTCTCTCAAGAAACCATTTTAAATTCCAGTCCTGATCAAAGAGGGGCTGAAGATGAGTCTTCACAAGGTCATTATGTAGAAATCAAACAATTGTCATTACCATTTCTTATTTCAAGATCTGTTCTTAAAAAATATCCTATGATGAAACAGTCCAAAAATATGCCAATCAGTGAAAATGATATTCAATTCATTTTTGATTTGGAAACAGATGAAGCTGATGATGATGTTGGAGAGTTAATGAGGGAACAAACAGATATGTCACCTATATTGCGGGTTGCCAAGAGTGACTATGGGCGTTCTATTATGAGACCAGAAGTGAAAGATGATGCTTCACTGAGTGAAAAGTGGGAAGAACAGGATGCTGAGAACACACGAGGGTCATTGATGCCAGTTAGTGAAGAAACTGACCCAAACCATCCAATAACCTTGAAAGTTGATCATCTTCCAGAAGAACTGAATAAAACTGATGCTGGCTGGGACAAAAGGCAAGAAAATGGTATGAATATAGATGGATCAAAATATGAAAATAAGAAATCTGGAGGGAAATATTTTAAGTCTTCAAATAAAATAATTCAGAGTTCTCAGTCATTAAATGATGTACTAGATGAAGTGAACCCAACAACAATGAGAACACTAAAAACTATGGAAGACATTGAAAAAGACAGTGCTGTCTCTAAAAACAATATGTTTGGAAAAAATGCACACAGTATAACACTTCAATCAGTAACACAGGATTTGGGCACAAACTCTGAGTTAATGCCGGGATCAGGCAACTCACACATTGTTCCTATACGATCAAAACGTGCATTAGCTTACCAATTCAAGGATAAATTTAGTGATGATTTACTTGACTCATCAATATTGGTGAATAAGGACAATTCTGAGATTGAAGATAATATGAATGGCAACAAGTACATCAATGTCATTATGCCAGGGAGTAAAGCACTATCTTTTTCAAATGTGACATCTGAAAATAACATATTATCTGACATGAAGAAATTCAAATATAATTCAGATAGTATGCCTGCCAACAGTCTTTATGTAAGAGATGATAAACTGATCTCAGACTATGCATCCAAAGATCTGAAACCAGTCTCACATGAGAAGAGAGCAGCAGATCAGTCACATCTTGAAAGTTTAGGTAATTATTTAAATGATATCATTAATGTAGAAACAGATGATGACACAGGAAATAATAAGCTAGAAGATGCTCTTAATGAAATATCAGAAGACGTAAATCTCCAGACAAATGAGATTAACAGACGATTTAGAACCAGTGACAGTTTTGTGAAATATAAGCTTGAAAGCAATAGAAACAATGGTGACAATGAACAAAACATCACTGAAACAAAAATAATTCCTTATGAATTACACAAACATGTTCTGAACAGTAATTATGCACCAAGACACAGAAAGATTTGGAAGTATTTATATCTTCCTAAGAATAAACATTTAGCAGCAAGCAGTGAAGAACTTCCCAGCATTGAATACTTTAACCCTGTAAACAAAACAGGCAACAGATCCAGTCCTTCTGATGAGACAAGTCCTGCCAGCAAGGATATCTTTAGTGTAATACTTGGGGAGTTTCCAAATATTAGCAGTAAATCTACAGAAATTTCAAAAACATCCTTATCTAATAATACTACCATTACTGCTGAAGAAACACCAAAGACTGCAACAGAATTAAAAGATGTTTCGAAATTTCCAATGTCTCGTAATGTTGTGACCAACACAGACACTGAGTATGTCACTGAACCAAATGTTAAAAAGTGGAACAAGGAAAGTTCTCTAATTTCAGAGACCCATCCAAAAGATGAATTTAATTATCCATTCAGAAGCATGAAGAGTATTACTGCTTCGGAACAAAAGCCTGGAGATTTAGAAACAGTTACAAATACTAAGGAAAATTCAGGATATTTAGTTATTATGGACCAGAACACTGAGCATATAGAAACACCCAAAGGGAAAAAGAGAAATGACAAAAATCAAGAAGAAAATAAACAAATTACAACAACAGGGCATATTCACAAATTCATTAAAAATGTAGCTGATCATGTTGTTAGGTTCTTTCATAAACTTTCACCATGGAACTATTTTAGGTACTGACATAATTAGGTAATTGGCATGTGTAGATATGTATAATACTTAATGCTCACAATTACTTGAAAAGCATATGATGAATTTATAACAGGCAAATGGTTCTCAAGGAATGGTAATTATAGTGACCATTACGGTAGCTAGTTATGAATACTTTGTCAGACAATGAAGAAGTAGTTCCAACCTTTGATTTATTTTGTAGTTTATGTAAAAGGTTTACTGCCTTTCTAAATGTAAATTAATCCAGCAATATTTTCATTCTGTATTATTAGAGAATAATTTCAACTTGTATTAATAATAATAATAATAATAATAATAATAATAATTTGTCCATGTCATTTTATCATTGTTAAAAACATTTGTTAATAAAAATCCCAGTATTTGATTACAACTTTTTTTTTATTTTGAAATAAACCTTTCCTCCACCACATTACAGATATTTGTGTACATATTTTCAGTAAAGTGGCAAAACCTGCATCTTGTGCTCTGATTAAGAACGCAGGTAACGTTGTTCCACGCCCACCGTATATCATGACAGCTCGGTGTGTTGCTGCATAGTACCCATAGTTTTGGAGATTTGAAATTCTTGCAGTAATGAGTATTCAGATCATCATCTGAGATGTGGTGCTATGTAGTTTGGTACAGAGGAACCAGCATTAAGAGAACTGTTGCCTCCACATACAAATATTTCAGAGAAATTTATTGTCTCCATCTTATACCCTGAAGATGGAGGCAGCAGGTTCCTCCTCCAAAACATACCGAACTACATGGCATCACATTTCAAAAGACCAAGATCTCAACATTTTTTTTTACTTTTTCAACAAACATTACCAACATCATTTCTGAACACATGCCTCTTAATTAGTGAAATGCTCAAGTAAATAGAGATTTAACCCCACAATTTATATTGATTAGGCCAGTCCCACTGATAAGACCTTTTGTCTGATATATATATATTTTTTTTTTTGCTTTTTCATGCATGACAAAAGAAGAGTCTATATAGTATGATGTGTTTGTTTACATAGTAAGAAGCCTCAGTCATATAAGTATACATACAATTTAAGTAATCACTTTTAGTGTACAAGCTGTCAGTCTCTTAGACATGAAGTAGCTGCTAGTCACTTTAGAGAGAGAGAGAACGCTTGAATACTGAAATTATGAGAGTGTTCTTTGAACTGTCTATTATATAGAGTGTATTTCTTGCTTCTTAATGGTATGAGACACCACAGCATACACTGCAGATGAGTAATTTGTTTTTACTGTGTGCCGATGTGGCTGTCTGCTGTCAAACTCATGTTCTCTGGAGCGGAGTATCCCCTCAATTCATGAATGAAGAAGTGTGTTTGCACACTAATTTTTGTTAGGATATTGAACCATTATATCAACAAATACTGTTAACCTTTTGAAGAACAAATATCTTGAAAATAATGTATATATATATCACAGGAAACAGTGGATACCAATTACAAAGCCCAACGAGCTAATGCTGTATAAGGAAAGATCACTCTTTATTGTGAGAAACGTATGAAAGACATAAATACGTGCTTTTGGTAAAGTGCAGATTTTTATGTTAAAGCAGGTGGTACACACAGCAGTTACTAGGCCTTAAAGGGTAACTATCATATATACAACTAGTAATTAAGGTAAAAAGGTAAAGTTTTTGCTGTGCTTAACTAATTAAGCACCACATCATGAAGGTGTATGGGGGAGGGAATGTACAGACAATTAAAATAGCATAGTGACAAGAAGTTTCTTTGGAGGTAATAGTATTCTTTTCAAGAAAGCCCACTAAAGAATCAGTTACAGAAGAAGCAGTAAGACATACAGTGTGCCCTTCAGGAGCAGCTGCCCCATGCCTGTTACAATTTTGACAGGTATGCCAAATTGACTTGCTTAGAATCAGTGTCCAATCATCAGAAAAATGCACCATTTACACACTTACTGTCATGTGCTTGTATTGGGATTTCACCTGTTTGACAAGCCATTTGCCACAAAAATTGGATTTTGAACTTCCATTAGAAACAAAAACTGTAAAGAATGAATGAAATAAAGATGTTGGATTTGAGGTTCTCACAGAAATAACTGTGAAGAGTATTTCCTTTTGGATGTGATGCCATGCAGTTTGGTAGAACTTTATCGAGGTTTCGGAAGAATATACTGCCTATGTTTTCAGGGTTGAAGAGTCAGCCAAGTAAGAAATCAGCAAGAAACAGGTAGAAGCAGAGCTTTTTGCAAGTTTCTTCCTTGGCTTACTGTTTAACCCAGGAGACAGAGGTAGTATGTTTCTGTAATACATCAGTGAACTTCTACCAGACTGCCTGACATAAAATCCCAGAAGTGAAAAAACTAATAATTGCTGTATATTTAGACTCTTATGTGCTACAGAAAACTACATATGAAGCTTCCTTGTATATGGATGATAAATGTAGGAAAATATGACCTTTACGTGTATGGTGGCAGGAGCCCATCACTTGATTGGATTGACTGACACTTGCATGTTTTAAACTTTGGCCTGTCAGATGGTGAGGTTGGCAATGGATGTGTTATGTTATTAATCAGATATCAGCCATTCTCATAAATTTTCAGTACGGACTTTCAGAACTTACTGGATAAAAACTCTATGGAAATTTCAGATGATAGTATTTGCTTAAATTGTATGATTTATATAGTGTGAGGAAAGTAGATTCTCCACAGTTCAAGCATAACCACAGTTTTTGTGTTGATTGGCTTTGTCAGGATGAAAGTTTTTATATGCAATAAACAATGTGAAAACTCAATACTGAGACATATATATCAAATCAACTTTGCACTAAAAAATGAAGTACACATTTCCATAAATTCTTGATGTTGCTGAGAAATAACAAAATTATATCATAAATCTCAGAGTTATGTTTGCCATGAAAAAAGAGCCATCTTTACTGGGATAGTGAGTCATGTTTCACCTGATCTAACTGTATACCAGGGGCAAGTGTTCTGCTCATACATGTCTGTTTGGAAGCTCTTTGACAGTCTGTATCCGTAATGTATTCTTGAAGTGAAATCTGAGGTTCTCATTACAGTGAACATGAATATTCAAGTGTTTCGCGTGTGACACCATATAGTTTGGTAGATATGCACTCATGTTTCAGAGGACTGTGTGATAAGTATCTTTCATCTGAACATCCATATGTTTGAAGTGTTCTCTCTTTTTCAGGAAAAGAAAAAAACAAACAAAAAAACAAAACATAGTTCCTCGAACAATATCATCATGCACAGATTTGAGAAGCCAAAATGTAACAGGGAAAGGATTAATAACTTCTATACATCACTAAAACCAATGCTCTATGCACTCAGATATGTTGGCTTGGCCCCATTCAGCTTCAGAACAGTAAAACAGGAGGATGGAAATGAGACCACAACATTTGAGATCACTTGGACCACATCATTATACTCTATCTCTTTTACTTTAGTATTATGCATCTCTACAATAATCTCCTTAATTGGGAGGTTCAGGTACACATATCTCACTATGCCAGACCAAGCTATGGTACCTGACTTCCTAGTATGGTGCACTCTCAGTATATGTGCCTGCTCTTCACTTCTATTAGGATTTGTATTTCGAAAAAGAATGGCACGAGTTCTTGACACAATTTCACAGATAGATCAGAGTCTGTTGATGAACTTAACATACACTTACAGCAATACATTTCTAATAGTGACTACCATCTTGGTTATAGTACTCTGCTTAGTAACTACCTTAGTATCTCTGTTTTTTCTATGGACAGTTGAAGTATCTGGAATTGAATCTATGGTATTAGTTTTACCAGGTTACATTAACTACTTTGTTAATAATTTAATGGTTTTGATGTTTGTCTGCCTTGTAACATTAATATGGCATCGCTACCGAATTCTTAATTCTCATCTGACCAACAAATATATTTCTTCCAGTATGCTGCAGACTCTGAATATGTCATGTAATACATCAAATTCTGAGCGCCACCATTCTGTGGTCAAAACAAATAGCAAAGATCACACATCTTTCTGCCAAGGAAAGGGTTATATGTGGAGGCCTCTAGTAACTGAACAACACTGTAATGTTTATAACATCAGAAAGCTTCGTGAATTCCATGACAGTTTACATGATGTTGCATCAGATATTAACGTGATTTATGGATTTCAGATTCTTGTCGATATAGCTCACACATTTATTGACATTACAATAACTTTATATATTAGTACTGTGTGTGCAAAAGAGGATGCACAAGGTGGCAGCACTATTGCATATCATGGCGCAATTGTTAATGCCAGTTGGATGCTGCTTTTCTTCTTAAAGCTGACAGGCATCACACTATCTTGCCACTTGGCCAGTAATGAGGCAAATGGTACTGCAAATATTTTACAAAAGAAGTTGCTAACAGAGGAGTTGAGACCAGGCACTGAAAGGGAAATACAAAGCTTCTTGCAACAAGTCACTACCAACAAACTTTACTTCTCAGCTTGTGGATTTTTTCACATCAACCTCTCGACAGTGTGTGCCATGATCAGTTCTGTAGCAACCTACCTTGTTATTCTGCTCCAATCTTGAATATACCATCTTTCTAATAACAGAACTTTAAGATTTTACACTGCAAATACTCGAGATCAATATTAAATACAATCTCAAGTCCATTAATCCAGTTCACATCCTCACCACATTTTTGCAAGGGTTATGTTAATGTCATTCACCTCTCTCCTTGGTCTACCAAGTGATAAGTCTGCAAGAGACTTGCCTAACACCATTTGAAATCTCTGTAAGAGTTCCTCTTTTCCCTTTCTAAACCGCAAATCTAAGCCTTTTTAAAAGAATTTTAAATCCAAAAAATACTGGAATGGCTTTCCATAGATGAAAGCATAAGAAAAAAAATTAATGAGGGATAATCAAATAATGAAAAAAGTAATTACTATAATTATTCCAAACACCGGATGTAACACTTAAAGCAGAACTGTAAAGCAATATGCTAATAAAGATTGGAAGAAAAAACAACTAACAGAATAAGAAGAGCCTTAAAAACATTCTCTTATGACTGAAACTGAATAGCACAAAAGGAATGGAAAGACCTGATCTTGAATGTGGACCAGAAGGATAGACAATAACAAAACATAATGAACATATGACTGAACTCGATGAAATGTGTTTCTTGCGATAAGTAGCTGGAGATACATTCTAAGACAAAGAGAAACGACGATACTATATTAGAGGGAAGTTACATATTGATAATATTTCAGACTACAAAGAAATGGAAAGGATATACTGAAAGGATGGAACAAAATCTTACTGAAATGAATTATAGAAATTAAAGTCCTTGAGGAAGAACAAATATTAGAAGATCAGTAACAATACTAAGTGTCAGAATGAGATTTTAATGAACATTGGAATATAGGACCAAACTTGCAGATTGATGATGAAGTTCGTTAATTACTGTTCATAATTTTGAACAGGATAGCTGTATGAGGGATACATTAATGCTTCTTGCTTGAAATTCAAATTTTTGTAAATGTTAGCAAAAAAATATCATCCTGTGATGGGTCATACAAACAACCAATTCACACCCTCAGTACCTTTTATCTCTGAGGTGGATTTTAATATTATTCTCCAGTCTAAACACATAACTGCCAAGTGATCTTTTCCTTTGAGGTTATCAACCAAATGTTGTAAGTATTTTTTTGTCTTCACACACCATAAAAATGTAACATGAACATTGTCTTCATGCACACTACACATTTTGCCTATCTCACTGTCAGCTTCACACACCATAAACATGTGACATGAACAGTGAAAGTTATGAAGATCTTCATATGTAATTTTATCCATAAAAGTTAAAATTAAGATTTTAAGGAGCCTATTTGAACACAATGGAGTAGTAACCCTTAATTTAAATGACCACTGTACATCATTATATAAACTATATTTATATAAGATGGAGTCATATTTATAACATGTTTTGACCAAAATGACTAAATGACCATCATTAGGTGGAAACACGTCATGGTACTGACTATATCCTTCTACATATAGATAATTTTTGTTAGTGTGAGATTTATTACTGTCATTATATGATGCTGGGTTATTCTAACAATTAATTGTTGAGTGTTAGTTTGTTGCATGAACATAAATTACATAGGGGGTCACAAACAAGTGAGCAGCCTTTTTTGTCAGTTTAGTAATGCATATTCTGTTCATAATGAAATTATCTTATATGGATATTTGAGGTATAGTGTATTGTATAAAGAAAATGGTTTACAACTGACTTCAACATCGGTCTTAAAGCATCACATGATACCATGTAGGCCTGGAAAGAAATACAAGCATGAAAGGAGAAAGTTAGTAGAATAAAATTTATATAGCAAGTGATGAGGTTCCTCACTCAAGTCTCAATGGTTGCTACACTAGTCTTATAGAAATAACATTTGTGTGGGAGAGTGCAGTAATTAGTTACAGTTTCATACAAAGAAGATGAACCACTATATATGAAAGCATTTTTTATGAAACAGACTTGAATTTTGAAACATTATGAGGACTGAAAGCTACAAGCTTCCTGAAAGATAATAGGATCAGAAATGAAGGCTAGAAGCAACTCTGTCACTGGATGAATGAAGAGGATAAGATGCGGAAAGAAACCCCTGAAAATTGTGAGAGCAAAAGCTCTAAAGGATATATTTATCCAACTACACACCCATGTAATAATATAAACACAAGATTCAAACCCTTGGAGCTGTGAAATGCATTACATTCAGGTGAAGTACTTTTCAACATTACGTATGCGTGCTGTGCTACAAACGCACTCATGTCATGATATATGTGAAGAAACAGAAAGTACAATGATGATTCATATTTATGTGGACTCCATTAAGACTTGTAGTTCAACTGTGTTAAATAATATTTTCTGCAAATTAAGTATATAAATCGTGTTTCACTAAGCAGTACATCATATATTATTATTACATGTGCTGGCACAAATTGTAATATGGGGAAGAATATCTGTCTCTATACGCAAAAAGGTTTCTAAGCAGCAGATTTATCATTGTCATTATCAATTTTTGGTTATCATAGCAAAGAATTTTCAACAATTAATATGCTGCATGAACATAAGTTACATAGTAGGCCACAAAGAAGTGACCAATTTTTGTTTCAGTGTATCATATGTGTTAGGTGGGTACTTGTAATGTTTCAATGTTGAGTCATTAAGTGTAGTATGCTGTATAAAAAAATTGTATTGACTATTTGTGCATGATATATATGGGAGATGCCATCAGATATCAGCCTTCATGTATCATCTGACTGGCACCTGGGAGGTTCCCAGTCAAAATCCTTGCTGGAACACAAACTATCTTCACTTTTCTGTGGTATTCCTTGGTGCTTCTAGGATTAAGCTGGGATGGCACTCTGAAGCAGACAAGGGCTGCTTCTTTACAAATCCTTTCCAACTCATCACTTATTAATCATTTTACCAGTAGTGTATAGTTTGAGCTACTGACAGTGTCATTAAATAAACGAAAAACCAACTATCCAAAGCTACCAATCTATTTTCAATAAAATTTGTTACTGTGAAGCTTACACTAGGAATTGCCATGTAAATTTAATATTGGTTTATACAAGTGCTTTCATGAACCTCAAATGAAACTATATCAAGACAACAGTCTTTGAGGATGTGACACCATGCAGTTTGGTAGATAGGTATTCTTTTGGAGGAACCAGCTGGCTCAGTCTTTCAGTGTAGAAATTTCTAAAAAATATCTCATCATATAAAAGACTGGTGCTTTAAATATGGATGTAGCAAAGATCTGTGACTTTTACTTTAAATATTTTTCAGTATAATAAATGTTTAAGAAAATAAAACATTATCAAGAACAATTAGGTATACAAAATATTAAATATCTAAGAATAGATTTGAAAAATATATATTCTATCCATTTGCTACTCATATTATACCTAGGGGTGTAGCCCTCAAATTAGTAAAATTGTCACTGTGATCTGGCAATAAGTTCCACATTTAAAGAACTGGGGATGAATGATGATAAAAAGCCATTCTTGTTGCTATTTAATGATACCTTTACACTTTGAAAAGCAGAAGTGAAAGAAAGACAGCTCATGAAACACATATACTTAAAGGATACAGAAGGATCAGAAATTAAATATGTGCTCTGCTTGCTGCTTACTACTTGCTTGGTTAGCTTCCTCTTCTATCAGACTAAAAGTTGTCACAATCCAGAAGATATTACTTTTCATGGTAGCCATTGTTGGAACCTCAAAAGCAATATGATAAATGATAATTCAGAATATATAATGTCTGGACGATGTAAGAGTACATTTTTTCCTCTTTGTTTTCCTTTGAAAAGATTATCCCTCAAGCATAAGAAATAAATTGTATTTGAAGTTGTAATTGTGCTTAAAGAGCTCAGATTGCAAAACAGAACAAGAGAGAGAGAGATAAACAGATAAAAATAAAATAATGTATTAATGTGCTACAAAATTCTTCATGTTCTAACGATCTTTTCTGATTTACAAATGTCAGTTTTAATTTGTATGAGCTATAAATATGACATAATACAGTCTGCTCACTCATCCTAGTCAGCAAAATTCTGTCTGACAAATCAGCTGGAGAGTTCTGACTCAGCATTACCATACTTAACAGAGCATGTAAGAATGTCTGATCTTCCTTGCACTCAACTTGAAACATTTGGCAGAACTGAGTTACAGCTTCCAACTTAACAGTAAGAGAAACTGACTGAAAATAATAAAATAGGATTATGTCATATGTGGGAGTGAAGGTATAGCTCAACCATTCTTGACCTTGGCACTATATGGAGGCGAGTGTTCAGATTCACGCTCCGGTTGCTTTACCCTTGGGGACATAGACCCTGGTACCCACTGGATGGGAGGCTGGGTTAGTGGCATAACCAGTCTGGACATTGTAGAGTAAAGAAAAATCTCTTGCCTCTGGCAGGAATCAAACCCCGACTGTCCAGCCCATACCGTCACTATATCAACTGAGCTATCCAAGCTCCATGCAAATTATTGCAAGTCCATATCAAACTGCAGTGTGGCCAAACTGTATAATGGCAGCAGTACACTGAATCGCTTTACAACCTCTCTTAAACTTACAGTTCGGTATAAGCTGTTCTGTACAGTCACACAAAATTCATTACATTATCTGAAAACAAGTTAAATCTCATGACTTAATGAACTGCCAAACTTGTGCAAGGATGCAACGATATATTAAATGATTCTATAGGAGATTCTAAAGGGTTCTGACGATGGTGGATGACACACAGAATTACTGGGTTTTTGGACTTTTGCCATTTCTGGAATTCTAGGTAATAGAGGACATGACATTTTGGAAACTCGATCTGTTTCCATCTTCAGGTGAGAAAGGAAGACACCTACTCAGTTGGGCCCCTTAGAAAGAGCTAATCTCAATCATTGGATTCTATAGGAATCGGTGATATCTCGTAGAGCAGGTCATGACACCCAGCTTGGGAAACTATGCCTTATATGAATAAAAGCGAATGGCTATTACATAAATGAAGCAATTAAATCACAAACTAATTCATGTCTACAAATGGAAGTGTTTACATAATGATACTGCCATATAAGAAAAAGTAGTAAGAATATCAAATTCAGTGAAGGGAAGATACACAATTCTGTTATATAGAATTCTATTGTGTGATGTCATGTGTTAATACTACCAATCAGAAGTAACTGAAATAAAATATAAAAGGGTAACTGCTTAATTTGCACTCAGGTGTACAGAAGTAGGACAGGACTGTATGTGGGTGTAGCATAAGTGTTATTGTACTGCAATGAAGCAAGCCTGACCAGTGTTGCAGTGGACATCAACAGCAGCAGAACACACAAAGTGAACAGTGGTATACCTGACTGGGGAACACGTTTCTTTAAAGAAACTACAAAACTACAGCAATATAACAGCAAGAAAATTGTGATAAATTACAGTCATTCACACTTATTCCTAACCTTTCTAAGTTTCTTTTCGCCTCCTAAATGGGAAAAATCTGATATGTGTCTGCTAGTTTAAAGTGAATATGCTCAAAATAGTAAGCAACTATTGAGGTATTAATTAGAGACCTTATTAAATTGCTGATTAACGGTGAACACAAAACAGTACAGCAGTTTAAAATATCTTCTGCAAGAATATATCTGACTTCAGGTAAGAAAATTACTCTTATTTTATTAGCTTCTTGCAGATCAAATAGCTGTCAAAGGCAGCTAGTTCAGTGGCCTCAAGCAGTGAATTCATAAATATGCTGTAATTCCTTCATGCATGTTACAGTTCTTTTGTTGTGGTTTAATTTAGAACACCATTTGTACTAGGCAACACAGGTCTAAATGGTAGGATGACTGATGAATTGGAAAGGCTGTAGAAGGAATGAGTCATACCATGATTGAAATACTATCCCAGAATTTTCCTGCAGGGACTGAGGAAAACCATGAGAAACCTCAGCCAGAATAGCCAGTGTCCTGGCCAAAAGTAGAACTGATCATCTCCCAAATGTGATCTAAAAGTGTTACCGCTACACTAACCCACTTTGTATATATTCTTTGTGCTTCATTCTGTTTATGTTCATTCAGCTGAAGAGTCTTGTACTCTTCTCCAAGTATAATTAGAATGATCAAGTCAAGGAGGATGAGGTGGGCAGTGCATGTGGCACGAATGGGGGAGTCAAGGAATGCATATAGGATATTGGTGAGAAAGCCAGAAGGAAAGAGACCACTGGGAAGACCAAGGCATATGTGGGTGGACAATATTAAAATGGATCTTAGAGAGATAGGATGGGATGGTATGGATTGGATTGATCTGGTTCAGGATAGGTACCAGTGGAGGGCTCTTATGAACACGGTAATGAACCTTCGGGTTCCATAGAATGCTCGGAAATTTTTCAGCTGAAGAGTACAAACTGTTGATCTACTCATAATTTTCTCCAGAACTTCTATCATTTCTCTTATCTGAATATCATCCTGGGTAATTCTCGTCATGAGTCTACACATAGTGTGCTTTTGTAGAATACATCTTTGTTTGACCTCTTAAGAGATGACTGTTTTAAGTGGCAAATTATGAGTAAGTATTGCAGGTGCCTATGGATTTAGCCCTTCAAACTTATTCTCCACATTAATGTCACATTTAATGATCTGTATTACTCAATTTAGTCTGTCACAGAGGCAGTCCATGTGTACTGTAAAGTTTTGGGGTGGTCATATTGTATTATATTTTTTTATAATTACATAAACTATCTTATAGCCTTTGTCATCAAACATAGTTTTAATGCTGCAGGCACCAGGAGCTTAAGAAAACACACACACATGTAATCATGGGAGTACTAATTGCATGATCTTTCTAATAAGCTGAATTCATCTCACTCGGTTCATAAGTGTTAAGGGAAATGTGCCTGTATCTTTCATCCAGGAAATACAGCAAACAATTATAAATCAATTAGAAGCCAGGACAGCTCAGATGGTATAGGAACAGGCTATGGGCTGGACAACCAGGGTTGGATTCCTGACAGGGACAACATATTTCTTTCTTCTTCAAAGGGCTTAGCCCAGCTGTGGTGCCCACTCATCCTGCTATCCAAAGGGTACTGGGGACTCTTTCCCAGAAGGTAGAGCGGCCAGGGAGTGAAGCTGACCCCTCACCTAAATCTAGTTCCAAGGTCAAAAATGGTGGAACTATACTTCAAACCCCCCCTCTCATACATCTTCATGGCATAATCTAACCTTTACCTTTACCTTTACCATACTCATCATTATGAGAACTTCAAATCTAACATTCATATATTTCTTTGTAATCACCAGAAGGTTTTCCTGTATACTCTTTAGCAAAAAAATGCAGACTCAGATATAGCTGAACAAATCCACACATACAGTGATGCCTGTTAGGTGTTAAGTAAGCACTGATGTAACATAATTCCAGTCAGACTATGTGCTGACTTTCATTCATCTCATCAGCTGATATCTTGGATACTAACAATTGCAATAACATGGACTCTTAGAGTCCATTTACTTTCTGCATAGACTGCCTGAAAACATCATCTCATAATCTGTATATAAGTTTCATAATTTGGTGACAAGCTAAATAAGCCACACTGTTAAGGACCTCACACCATGAGTGTCCTAAAAATTAATACATTTATTTTATTTATTTGTGGTTTATTTACTGGTATTTTCATTAGCTGAGGCTATATATTATCAAATAGCGGAACAATTAGTCAATGATGATTCAAAAAGGATGTGGAAGGAAGTAGTCATGAGTTAATCTGGGGTACTATCTCTGCATTAGCCTGGAGGGACTGAGAGAGACCACAAATGGACTTCTCCATGCATCCCATTAACTGTTTCACAGTTCTGTTGATATTGAATACACGAGATTTCCATTGAAATCTGTTGGTTTAGTGTGACTTTTCAGCCACAGTAATCTGCATTGAAGCTTGATTTACAAAGGCATACCCCATTCACCATTTTGTAGGATCTTCTGAAATACAATATAGCAGATCTGAGCAATTTCAATTTACAGACATATTGTTCTATAATAAATCCTAGTTTGCATGAGACTATAAATTTATTTTTCCATGTATCATATAACCTTTCCACAGATTAATCTCATTTTCAAAAAAAAAAAGGCTTCCAATAATCTGAATTTCATTATTCCTACTTTTATGTATGCTTAATGCACTTCAAAGAATGCCATGGGTAATTTTGTGTATCACTGGGAAATTCTTCAGTTGCTGATAGATTGGTGGCTTCCTAACTAGGACTCAGCTATATGGAGTTGTTTAGTCAGTCAGTTAGATTATTATGGAGGATACCATTTTCAATCATCATAGCTTTTTGATGTAGGTTCATCAGTTCACACACAAACATTTTAAAGCTTTATTATTTCTGCTCATACTGTCATCCATGTAAAATACTATATACATATTTCTGTTTTGTTATGGAATCCTTCAAGCTTGATGTTGTTTAAGGCCAGAATATATGTAAGTGAAGTCTGTGTGTCAAAAAGGATAATTGAAAGTAAGTGAAGGAACCCAGGAAAACATTTACTTGATCCGAACACTGCTAAATGCAGTGTCTTAAAATCAAGATCTTATTTGCTGCAGAATGGATGTGGAAAGTAAGAATTGGATACAGAATTCTGGATGGGAACCTCTTGGGGAGCAGCCACTTAGAACATGTCAAAGAAAGGGATATTAAAATGAATCTTAGGGAAACTGAATGTGAAAATCAGAACCTGACTGAATTGCTAAAGATCAAAACCAATGACAGGCTTTGCTATTCTAGGGCTGTTCAATCTTCAGGGTATTTAACTGAAGAGGCATAGCACAGTTGGTATAATAAGTGGCCATGGGCTGGATGATTGAGGTGTCAGAGTTCAAGTCCCGGTAGGGTCAAGAATTTTCTCTTCTCCACGTCCTCCAGACCAGCTCTGAGGTCCACCCAACCTCCTATCCAATGGGCACTGGGGGCTTTTCCCCAGGCGGAAAGCTTTTGGGGCGTGAAGCTGATCTCTCAACTCAAGCTAGTGCCGAGGTCAAGGAAATATGAATCTATACATCCACTCTTCATACATCTTTATGGTGTAGTGCTTAATTACTTAAGCACAGGGACTACTTTATCTTACTTTGAAGAGTGATCTGGGTTTGTCCAGACTGGCTCTTACAGCTCTTCCTGAACTGAAGTCTTTGAAAATAAACTTTCAGATCAAAATTATTGAATTTAAGGAATAAATTATAGATAAATCATAACATTCTTTATGACTAGAAATTATGAGCCTTTAGAATCCTAAATGCATTAGGCAACTGTTAAGTATTATTAATATCTATTTTAGAACTTCAGCATTTGATCCAAAATAGTTTCATACCTCAACTAACCCGATGAAAAATTAAGTGGTTAGAAAAGATACACGCCAAGTTAGATTTCACTTTGAGTCTTATGCATCCCGTATGGTCAACCACATTTGAATTTGTTACTGACTGTACTGTTTTACGTCTTTTGTAAAATACTTTATACAACAGGCACAATATGGGACAGCTGTTGCTGTGGGTTATAATGTGGCTTCTTCAGCCATGGAACTCTGATGAAGCTGCACACATTGAAGTAAGAAAACTTCCCTTCAATCAGAGTAATTCATTGCCTGAGAGAATGTAAGTACAATATTTATTTGCTCACAGGATAGAGCGAAACTATGATAAATGTGTTAGAGTTTAAGTTCGCAAAACACCGATCATGAAGGGTACTGTTTTCTGTGATGTGATGCTGTGTATTGTATTCTACTGTCATGGGGGGTAGGACTTACAGTCACCCCAATCACTCAGACCAATGCTAGGTTCACTGTGCACCCGCAGTCTTGCCAGGGCACATCAAATTGCCCTGAGTGTAATGCTACAGGCAGAACCATTCAGACTGGGGCCCTCCTGATGTCTATGGGCTCTAATCATGCAGAAACAAGATTTCTGTTGTGTGATCCAGTGCTGGGCACCAACAAAATACATGGTAGAAAGATTATTCCTCCTGTCCACAGTTCCTGTGCGTGATGCTTTCCAAGAGGCTGAGATATTCTGGTGTCATCACAATGTACATTGGCCAGTTAACAGCTCTGTTACCAGCCTATGGTGTTTCATGTCCAATGCCACAGAGTAGCTCCTTCTGATAACTGTTGCTAGGGATATCTGCCATGACCCACAAAGCCCTGCACATAGGGGGAAAGTTAAATATAGTGAGAGGTTGCCTTTGTGTCTCAATGGAACTGTTCACTACAGTGCCCCTTCAGTTTCATGCATGGCAGGTCATATCCTACCTCAGGGCATTACCACCCTTAGTCAGTCAAGCTGACCTGCTGGTTCCTGTGACATTGTGTAGGTTGGTAGAAGCTCAATTATGTTTCAGAGGAAAGTACTGCTTCCATCATTAGGGTCAAAGAATAACAAAAACAAGCGTCACTCTGTTTGCAGCTTGGTTTTGTAACCATTCAGTCTAATTGGAGGACTATTGTGTATTAATTATACGTATATTAAGATAATATCAAGTAAATACAAATAGATCTGGCAGATAGCCAACTCTTACACGCAGAAGGGACATAGTTCAAGTTTTGCTATGTGGACAGGAAGTAACATCTCGTACTTTCCTGGAATTCTGGCAGTTTCAGCAAAGTCGGAAAGTCTTTGAGAATTTGAGAGCTGACAGCTCGGAACAGCGAAAAGTGGGACGGCCGGAGCCTCATCCCATGATCGTAATGCATCAAGGGGCTGTCAACCTTAGCGTCAGGTCAGCATCTGCCAGAATCACATAGCAAAGCAACATGATTGGAAATTCAAAATTTAGGGAACCTCCTAGTTTGAAAACTTAACCAATGGCAAAAGTGGAGGAGTGGATTTCTCCTGGAGTCTGGGGTTCATGGACCTCAGGATTCAGAGAGAGTGCATTCCACCTCAAGGAGTCTTCATCCAACTTTCGGCCAAGTCGGACACAAAATTACAACTACGTCCCTTCCATAAAAGTATTATAAGTAAAGTTCTAAATAAGTGTTACTAATAGATTCATTTGTATTCAGTAAGCTGGAGGGAATTAAATGATTACTAAGTGCAACGGTCTAAAGAGGTGTGTGTGATTGTAGTGGAAGATTCTTCCTTCCCTGCCCGAGCCAGACCTGTATAAGACTCGGGATATGAACTCAGCTCTACCAGTTACCGAACAGAACCCAGATACTCCCGTCTTTACCTACTCGCGAGACACCTAAGGGTGTACAGGAAGCGAGCTCTTGCCTACCAGCTCCAACAACCACAATTCTCCTCCCTTCCCACCTAACTTCTCGACATCCACGAGAAGACGGAGGACGGTGATAAGTGGAGCACAACATGGCATCACATTTCAGAAGGCGGTGCTCTCTTTAATAAATGTACCCACACTGGCTCCCAGAAAATATTTCCTTGCTTGGTGGCAATGACGGCACTTCATGTCAAGAGTGATTATTTATTGTTGACAAATTCGAATCCTTTCGGCATTTGGCCAAATGGATTTCAAGAATGATGTATTCAATGATGTGACTTGTTCAAGTGTTACTGTTGTAGCAATTAAGAATGCAAAATAAAATGAATGATTGAATGAATTCATTACAATGTGGTTTTCTGACATGGCTCTTATGAAGTTCTGGAGGCATAGAACATTCCTATTTTTTCAAGCATCAAATTACAATCTTGCTGCATCTAACATAGTATCACACATACCTAATGTCTAATGCTGTACAACATAAAGTTTTAAAGGCAATTTCAATTAAATGGTTTGCTAACATTAGGTTAAAGGGTTACGGTTTTCAACTACTGTGGTATTAAAAAAATGGCCCAAACTTTTTGAACTGGAATTGGCATTATGATGTTGAAATGTTTTCATACATCTATGAAGAAGTTCTTCTGTAATATGCACCTTTGCTGCAATCAGTCCCATATGTTTGTGAAGAGTACTGTCTGGCACATAGTAACCAACATTTTGCAGGAACTTAGTGGATCCAATTTCTGAACTTTGTCTAAACATCTCTGAGCAAAACCACTTACTTATATTTATAATCTTTCTGTAAGTTCAGGCATATGTCCTCTGGATCATATTTTTTGAAAAATTGTGTAAATAGTATCTCTGAGTAAAAATTTTGCTACATAAATTTGTAATGTTCTTAATTAATTTGTTACTTTCCAGCCTACAACAGATTAATTCCACATCTGTTGACAATATAAGTTCAACATGGTTTCCAATTTCAAGTACAGCTAAGCACAGGTTTCAAAATACAAATGCAGCCCAAGATCGAGGAAAGAGAGAGACAGATACCAACCCGTCACATATAGCCGTTTTATACCCAGTGGACAGTAAGCGCAGAGAAGGACCACAGCGATCTAACAAGCACAAACGATGCCAAGGAAGAATCAGGAACGGAAAAGTACATCATAATTCTTTTCAAAAGGGAATTACCAGTTCCAACAACATGAAAAAGGATGATGATGTTAATTATTACAAATCAACATATCCTTCACTTACTGCTGACAGTGCAAATGAAAGGGATATAGGATTTAGAGTGGATAATGATGGTGTACCCAAAGTGAAACTCACTGCTGCAACTCAAGCTGTGGATAATGGTTGTGAGGCCAACACACCCCACTCATTTGCTGGTTACATACAGCAAGCATCTAATTCTGATGAAGGAAGGGGCGAAGGGGCTAGACTCCAACAGTTACTGACAGCAGGTAATGGGTATAGAGCTGGTAGTGACAGTTTAAAAGAACACCTAAAGAATAACAGAAGAGAACCAAAATTTAATAAACATAAATTCTGGAAACCATCAGAAGATAAAAATGGACAGGTCAACACTGAATATCAGAATGAAGGGAGTACAAAAACAAGCACTCAGATATCTTCCCATTTTTTGAGTGACTCCTATACAGACCCTAGCCTCCAAAATGGGCTGGGGAGACTGGGCCCTCTGATAGAATACCATTATCCACATGATGATACAAAATCAGTGTTTCAAAATCCTCCACTCAAGGAAAGAGTTTATCAAAATCCAACTCTATCAGCAAAAGACTTATTCAAAAACAACTACTTCCCACAGTCATCAATGTATCACAGTCATCAGCATGATAATGCACAAATTTTGGACTCAGAATTGTATGGTAACAGATATGAAAATATCTACTGGGAACCAGAAACACAAAGTGAGTACCAGGATGCACCAACAAATCTTGAATTGAAGCATAATATGAAGTCTATCACTGATTCTGAACCCTTTATAACAGGCCATGTCAGTGAAGATAATTTAAACAAAGATACTGGAATAAATGAAGACATAAGACACAATATGGTGGTTAGTGGTATGCCTTTGTATCCTTCAAGTGGTGATAGAAGACTGATGCAAGATCACTTTCTGTCCCAAAATGGCATAAACAATTCACCTTATATTCAAGGACCACCAAGCAACATGGAAAGATATCTTCCTGGCAAATCCTCTGGAGTACTGCAAGAAGATGCAGTATCAGTTCACAGCATGCCAGGTGCAAAAGATTCTTCCATACATTACAGTGAAAAACCTGCTGTGTCCAGTAAGAAACTGAAACTCTCATCATCTCAGGATGGAATGTGGAGAAAAGATTCAAGACTGACAACGGAAAATTCGATACTTTCATTGCCTACTGCCAGTCACAATATAATACCTAGCAATTTGCACAAGCATACACCCAAATTTCACAGTGATTTTGATGAAATGATAAATAACAGGGATAGTCAAAAGTTGAACAATGACATTGCGTCAACACATCAAGATGTACCTGTCACTTCTCACTACATTAGTCACAAAAATAAAATTCCTTCTGGTGAACTATCTTGCTTCACAGAAGTTAATGAACCAAAAGAAGGTTTACAGTTAAAGTACAAAAATGAGTACAGAACTTCACCACATAACTATGAAGTTCCACCGCTTACAAATGTGCCAACATGGGAAGGACCAATGACAGACCATTCAGAGTATACCCAGAGGGTCGCCAGTACCTCTCACTACAGAGATGAGGCAGGAAGATATTTCAGCAGTAATGGGAGAAATCCTGCCTTCAAAAATATACATTTTCCAACGTCAATATATCAGGTGACAGAACAAAACGAGGATTTGCCACCACATAAATATGTTCCCACATCACAATATTATCATGAAATGTCAACACCACCTAACAATATCAATATTGAAAATGTGGCTTTTCAAAGCAGAACAGAACCACAACTATTAAACAAAAGACCAACAAACAACAGACTAAAAGAAGGTACAAATAACATGAAAGTTTCAGTTTCTGAGGAAGGTCCCTATGATGAGTCTACTTTTATCTCAGAGATAAGTGATATCTCTAAATATTTACCTTCAGCATCTGAGCCAAGTTCATATGAAGCCAGAACTGGAATTCTCTGGGTACCTGAAGGAAAAGGAAGTGTGACAAGCTCTGCCAATCATGATGGCCGCTTCAATCTACAAACTAATTCACAAAAATCACAGCCTTCCTTTGATGTAGGTATGGTTTCAGACCAAACAAAAAGCGAATTTTCACGTATATTTCAGAACACCATAAATGATTTGCACTCTGTCCCTATTTCGTCTGTAACATCTTTGAAACATGCACATTTGGCATCTACACAAACAAGCTTAATCAATACGGAAACTAGGAGCAAATCTGAAGATATGCTCTTACCAGTCAACACCCTAGTACCCCAGTACACTGTAGAACCTGCAGAAGTTAAAGACACTTTAGCAGGAATTTATTCTGCAGCGACATATTCACCTCTTTTAACTACAGTTACTGTGGGAGCATATCTTCCTGGTTCATCTGAAGCTTATCCACAAATGGCAGTCTTGAATGGGTATAAGAATGCAAGGAATATGGGAGAGGATGTAGCCCCAACACTGCACTCAAATGGTGGTTACAAAAATACACTGCACAGTGTAACAGAAGCAGTAACTGCAGAACAAAATCACGATGTCTCGAACTCAGCTACAGAATTACCATATGAATTCAAGAAGCAATCCTTTCCAGAATCAGTTCAGTCTGACACAAATTTTGGGAAAGAAATGCAGGAAAAACCGGCTATAGAAAGTGAGCAATCAACAAGTGTCATGCCAAATTTGTACAAAATGAACGAGGTACAACACGCTGCACTCTCAACTGCAGACACATCTGACAATGATGCAAACACAGGAGACATAACTGAACAAACTAATTTGCATGCAACAGGGCTGCCGATAGATGAATTAAAAAATCAGATTGGTTCGGTCCCAATGAATACAAAATATGAACCAATTGCAAGAGATGAAGTCACACAAGGGCAGGACACAAATTACTCTGTGACCTCAATGACAGATTTACAGTCTGAACCACAATACATCCCTTTGTCAGATGTTGCAGACAAACTAGATGCCCATACAGCGATGGCTTCGACAGCAGCATCAGAGGTCTATAAGAACACAAATCCCAGAAAACTACTTGTGCCTGATAAAAGACCATCACCAGAAAATGAAGGAAATTATTACTTTCCTACTGCAACAGTTTCATTGCCAGAGACTGTGACAAACACAGTTTATATAAATGCTGAACCTCCTGAAATGTTAACACCAATACAGGAACAAATTTTACATCAAGTTTATTCTACCACAATCATGCCACCAGAGACAGAAGTCCATGTAACAACTAAGAAGACAGAATTAAAATTAATCCAAGTACCGGAAACAGCAATTAATTACAAAGGAAAGGTGCTCACACATACAGCAGGAGATGAACCAGTTGCCCCAAGGGACACAGGATTAGAGAGGGAGCAACGGGTTTTAGAAAAAGGGGCTGATTATGAGTCAGACAAACCAATACCTGCACATGAATTCTCTGAGGACCATGAAGAGCAAACAGATACACAAAAGGATGTTGAAAATATACTGAAGACAAAAAAGAATGAGAGAAATGACTTGAATATGATCCAAGTACCAGAAACAGCAATTAATTACAGAGCAGATGTACCCACACAGACAGTAGGATATGAACTAGTTACCCCACGGGATAAAGGACATGAGAGGGAGCAAATGATTTTAGGAAAGGGGGCTGATTATGAGTCAGACAAACCAAGAACTGCACACAAATTCTCTGAGAATTATAATGAGCAAACAAACACACAGAAGGATACAGAAAATATATTTATGACAAGAACAAATGATAAGACTGACTTTGAAATTGCTGAAGTACCAGAACCAGGAATTAATTACAAAGTGAAGGTGCCCATATACATAACGGGAGACAAACTTCTTACCTCAGCAAGGGGTAAAGGGCACGAAAGGGAGCAGCTGACTTTGGATGAGGGAGATGTTTACAAGTCAGACAAACGAATAACTACACACCAATTCTCTGACAACAACGAAGAGCAAATAAACACATACAAGGATTTTGAAGATACATTTACGACAAAGGCAATTGAAAACTATACAAGTCCAGGTATTCTGAAAGCTGAAACATATAAATTTACATTAGCAGAGACAACAACATTCCAGACTGTTGCAACACCCACAGCAATGAACGGAATAACAGTGACAAGTAGCCCTACAGAAAGATCAGACACTCCACAAAGCATGTACTTCACAATACAGGATGAAGATGGAAGAACGGGCAACATTAATAAGTATAATAATGATAAGGATCTTGTACAGAAGAATGACCCACAGTATCTACATACAGATGAGTACGATATTTCACACAGCAACCACCTCAGTACAACAGCACAAGAAAAACGCTATAACAATGAGCACACAGGAAGTCCTTCAAACATGGAATCTGACTTTGAAGATGCTGCACTTGATGTGAGGAATCAAAACGGTGCACACAAAGATGAAGAAGAAGAAAAAGGCTTACATGCATTTTATTTCACTGTTCCAACACTTGCACCTCAACAAAATGGAGTTACAAGTAACTACATACAACTTTATGAAACACAATTGGGAGAAAGTACTCAGTCACCTCCTGAAATACAGAATAAGCAAAATAATGTAATTCCTGATGAACAAAGTATGAATGGGTACACACCTCCATTGGAGATAACTGATCATGCAGAAATCCCTGCCTTGCAGCATCTTACTCTTGGGCTCCAGAACTCAGAGAGTTTTCTAACAAAAAATATTTCACTTGGGAAGATTGGAGATATGACAAAATCACTGCAGGATATTGTTAATTCTACAAAAAATATAAAAAAGCCACATCAGGACCAAGACTTCATTCCAGATCATAATGAACGACAATTATCTGACTCTCTTCAACCAGCTGTTTACGCAAGAAACAAGGAAGATACAGAATCTGAAACTAAAGATGCCAACCATGTTCCCTTTCACCAAGAAATATTATCACCCAGTTATAACAGACAACTTGTTCCTGAACATAATACAGACAGTTCCACATTACAGATCCAAAGTCAGTATAAGAATGCAGAAAGATATCACAGTTCATTACAACAGACAGCTGAACCTAAACATACACACAAAAACCACAACGAGGAATTTGATACTGCTACACAATACACATCACCACATCCTCTGACCGAAATAAAGGAACAAGAATGTTGTATACACTGTAATAACATTTTAATTAGTCAATCTAAAGACAGAGAAGATTATGTGAAAAAAGAGGGAAAAGGAAAATCAATACTTTTTCCACCTGATGATGTAACAGGAATATTGCCAGAATATATACAATCAAGAAATGGTATAGGAGGTTCAATGGAACCTGGAAGATCAGATGATTTGGGAGAAATTTTAAGAGATTATAAAAATCCTGAATATGTATCAAGAATTGTGACAAACAATGAAAAACCTGAAGGTGTAACAGAGGCCGCAAAAGAAAATAAGCCTGGTGTAATGAGAAACGGACAAGCAGGAGGTGTTCGAACAGAATATAATCAAATGGAAGAAGAACCAGACTACAAACAACCTGATGATCCAACAACACTACGGAGAGACTACAAGCAGCCTGAATATGAGTTACAGGTTGAATATACAACAGAGGACCACAAAGTTCTACAATCTGGAGTTGTGACAGAACAAACGATGACTCTTCAAGGTGAATCAAAAAGAACTAGAAATACACAAAACCTTTATACAACAAATGCAATAAAGGAATCTGGTGAAGATACTAGGAACACAATGAATACTTACAAAAAAACACTAATGTTCTTGCTGCAAAATAAAGAGAAGATACAATTATTACTGGATCTACCATACTCATATACAATGACTTCTACTCCTGCATTGCCCATAAGAAGAGAAATTCAGTCACGACTGAACAGAGAACCCACAGAAGACCAGGGACAAGTAATACCCATGAACTTAGCTTTCAAGAAAATTAAACCTTCCAATGTGGATTACAGTTCAATAGAAACTACTGATATAAACCTGGAACAACCAAAACATGTAAACATGGATTCTGTCAAGTCTCATGAGCTTTCTCCTGTGGAAAGTCTAGGAGGAAAAAACAGACAAGCAAAATTTTTGAAAGATATGCACACAGCTAAATCAGACAGATGTAAAACTACAAGCACCTTTAATGATGAACATAATTTAAGAAACCAAGAAACATTGCAACAACCATGTATATCAAGAAAAGAATACTCAAGTCCCACATTCATGGTACCTTCTGTAAACGTAGATAGATCAGACCGGCTACGCCAGAGGAACAAACAACCAAAACAAAAACTTGAATTGAAGCCAGGCATCAGGGATAGTGATGATACATGGGGTACATCTGTGAATCTAGCCCATCTGCCATCACAAAATAGCATGAGGACAGAGTGTTCTAATTGTGGGCCTTGGGCACTGCACAAAAATTACTTCTCTATGCCATCTGCTAGTCCCAGACTGGATCATCACTTGTTCCTTTCAGAGGATGAAAGCCTAAGTACTGTCCCCACTTCTAGTTATGAAACAAATATTAGCAGTGATCCAGAGTATGATTATGAAATGGACTCAAGTTTGGAGTCATATGAGATGGAACAAGATTCATCTCTGAATTTCCACAACCAACAGCACAGTAGAAATAAAAATGTTCAACGTTCAGATACTCTAAGTGAGAAAGGAATGACGCTACAGGAGGATATTATTGATTATGATGCTGAAGATAATCAAAGCCTCCCTGATGACTCCGAGTTAGATACTGGCTCACCTCAGCTATTCAAATTTTATATGTACAATGATGATAAAAGTTCACAACCAAAATCATACAACAAAAGAAAGTCAAATTCAAATCACAATGTAGGGTACATTCCTGAAGAAAGTTACCAAAAATTAATAAAAGATGATGTAGTTTCCACAAGGCCTGTGTCTACGGGAAACTGGAAGAAATATAAAGGATCGCCTGAAGGAATCATGCACCCCAAACCCTGTACATCCAAGAAAAGGAGCTATAAGACACATAAGCAACACTCACCAAATGAAGACAACATTAGAAGTTTCTCCTTGGGATTCAAGGAGAGGAAAATGAATAAAGGATACAATGATGACAATGCAGAAATAAGGCATTACAACTCTGGTAAAAGGAAATATGAGCAACCATCTGAATGGGAATTTCTGAACACAGAAAACAGGCAATCTTCACCATTTAGTGAGGCATATGATCAGTCCAAAGAACATTCAAGTCATGGAGACTGTAGTGAAGAAACTATTACACAAGCTTCTCCAGAGATAAGTTTAAAAAATGCCAATAAATTCATCGATGGTGACACAATTCGTACGTCTGTGAATGACCCCTCATACGACACTGAAGTTTCCAACAGGTATAATAATAATAATAATTATAAGAAAATATTGCCTTCAGTAAAAATGCAAAAGATTTCTAAAAATAATTACAAATATTCCAATGATTATGATTATCCTATTAAATATCATGAGCTATCAATGAAAGATAATGGTCAGCGATTTAATGATATTCACCAAACTATCCCTCAACATTTACTTCACCAGAATAACAATCGTATATTCCATCCGCCTGAAGATAACGACAATTCATGGGGTGATGCCTACCAAACAAACGTAAGTGATGAGAATAATGTAATAAGAAGAACAAGAAATGCAATGCAATACACAACAACAGGTTCACCACAAGAGAAAGAGAAGGATTTGTACCCACAATATCAGTCCAGAAGCTGTCAGTCTTATAACTGTGAAGGTGTTCTTGCATCTGAAGTAAAAATTGTGACAGCTATTCTAAAATGGCTGAACAATATGGTAACAGACATCAAGAAAACGTAACACACCAAACCAGGGTTACAACTGCAGATGAATACCGTAACAAGAGAATGGACTGAAGGAACAGAAAACAAACAGGGGTAATTCCATGGGGCGGAGTCCTCCTTGAGTAACTGACAGTTGCTCAACAAATTCCTAACCTTTGTGAAACCAAAGGTTTGTTCCTATGTTCAAAATTCTATCACTGGACCCCATCCAAGCCAGCTGAATCAAGTCCACACCCTCACATTCTATTTAAGATCTATTTTAATACTATCGTCTCATTCATGCCGCATCTCCCGAGCAATTTCTTCACTTCGGAGTCTTCTGAATAAAATTGTGTATGCATATGACATCTTCAATTATGTCATTTGCCTGATCAGTCTCATCCTCCTTCATTTAATCATCCTAGCAATAGTGAAAGACTGTTTGGAACTTATATGATGTTTATAATTTCCTGTTGCAGTCTCTACTTCTATGTACTTAACAATTTGCATGCTTGACCTTTGCTCAGTAACTGAAGGGGGGAGGGTGAGAGGGGATTGAAAATAGGTTTTCCACTACCCAATCTCTGAACTGACAGTCAAAGTGGATCTTTCAGGTGAGCCAGTTTCAGACTATGTGATTTTTGAGCACTGCATGGGTCAAGCTCATAGATTAGTGGCAGCAACTGCATTGGTACAATACTTTGTCCTGTAGCAACTATCTGTGATTAATGAATTTTTTGGTTAATAAATGTATTTTTATATTATGGTATCTGACTTTTGTCTTACAGCCTTATAATAAAGCCTGCATATGCATATCTTTCCTATGAAGTTTCATGAAAATTTATGAATTTAAAATTGTTTTATGGGAAACATGAACATGAATGCAAGGACACTCCATTCATGTATAATTTAGAGTATTTAAGAACATAAAGATAAGACTATTGTAGTTTTTCTTATGCCAATGCAACATATTTTGAGAAAATGAAACCTCCTGCTTATGCATCTGTCTATATCAAACAATTTCATAGACACAAAATCTTGATTCAAGAAATAAGAATCCCTGGATGATTAAAAGTGAATAAACACTGTCACTGGAAACTGACCTGGGTAAACAGATATTCTTAAAGAGAAAGAAATTACATGTTATAATGCCGTGCATGTTAAGTTTAGAGTTCTAATTTAATGAGGTGAACTAGGTACTTGTTTTGGCTTATGCACACCTACCTAGTCTGGTCATTTTCCAGCAGCAGAGTGTATTGCTATTTCTCATTCAGAAACTTCCTGTCAAACAAGCTAATCTAGCAGCAGTGTTTGAGAGGTACTGATTCAAATCTCAGTTCAGACACCAGCTGTCCTTACTGAGGTCTTCCTGTCTCTCTTGCAAATGTCAATACCTCAATTAGGCCACGACCACTTCCTTCCAAATATTTTACAGTTCATTATTCATCCTATCCTTTGATGCTATTTAGTCTCGATACTGATGATCTCATATCATGCCCCCCCCCCCCTCCCNGAAAGATTTTCTTTTCATAATACTCTCATTATGAAGCAATCTTTAATATAGGGAACTCAAGAAACAATAATTTGAGTGAAACAATTTTACTCTATGTCCATGTTACTGAAGTCAAACAGTCTCATTTTACACCTGTCTGCGACTGTGGTTATGAGAGGACCTGTGGTCTAAAACAGGGCACCGCCCTTCTGTGCTACTGCATTGGTTTTGATTTAATGGACACTTTTTTTAAAGGTGATTATAGTTCTGGGTCTTATGTGGGTAATGATGTCAATGTTTCAGAGGTACATGCTGCCTCAAACTTCAGGGTTGATTTAAGTTAAGTCTGTAGAGAGTGATGCAGTATTTCCAACATTTTGGACATAGATGTTGCCTCTTATCTTCAGGGTCGATGTAAGACGAGTCAGTGTGCACTGATGAAGTGTTGCCAACATATCAGAACTACATGCTGCATCCACCTTTAGGGTAAAATTAAGAAATGTATCAACTGCCTCAGCCTTTGACCTTGGAGATGGGAGGCAGCATGTATCTCTGAAATATTGGCAACACTGCCCACCTTCACACAATGCAAAGATCGAGGAATCAAATCAATATTCAACCATTATGAGAGCCTAAAAATTGGTACAATAATTGTTAATGAGGAACTGGAAAACATGAGAAAGTGATCATACCTCTTCTAAAGCAGTTTACGGTGGGACTGAGGAAAACTACAAAAAACTTTCCAGGTTAGTCAGACTCCAAACCAAGCTCAGGACCTCCAGAATACAAAGCAGTAGTCCTAACTACATACTGCAGTGTTTGATTCTGAGATTTTGGCCCAGGCTAGGCTCAATGTGTATTTTCATACTTACACTTATCTCTGTAAACTTCATTAAGTTTGCAAATGTGAGAGATTTCAAAATGGTTTGGAATGTACTGGCCATCATCTTCAGTAAACATGATACTGTCATTTCTCTATAGTCAGTCAATTATGATAGCTCACAGTCAATGACTGTCTGTGACTCACTCCATACCTTACTGGACCACGAGCACCTTCTCTTCCACCGTGATGAATGACGAACAACGAATCACTGCTCACATCTTGAACTGCCTTGAATGACATCTGTCTGAGGAATCTCTCCTACAGTCAGAGTCATTTGAAAGGAGAGACATCTGCTGGTATAGGTTCCCAGAAACAAAACAAACTCCAACACTGCACTTGCAGAGTCATAGATATGTCTCTTGGGCATTGAAAACAAAATGACATCAGCATCTGGAAGAAGAAGAAAAAAGAAGGAAGCACCAAATATGGAGAATCAGGTGGGAAAACACAGTTCCACATAATTTATGCACTAAGCAGAGATGCTAACTTAGGAGAGGATATAAATTATGTTAGAGTGGGGTTTTTTAATTACTCTTGGGTGTGAAATTACAATGTTCATATGAATATAAACAATTATAGTTTATTCTTGTATATTTATTTATAAGTGACAATTTTTTTAATGTCAATAAGAAGTTTTATTTTTCTCTGCTGTAGTAGCAGGTTCGTATTCATATTCAATTTCAACACGTGGCCTCATGCTCTTCCTGTATGTGATTGGTTTTGGAGGTCGTGGCTTCTGTTTTTTCATCTCTTTAGATGAAGTGCCTGGTTCCACCTTTGCATGTGTCACATCCTGAAATTTAAATTCACTTATGAATGTTAAATATGAAACACATGATACATCTCCTGTTGGGGTTAAGTGATGTAAATGTATTGATTACACTGTTCCCTCACTTCTGCTGCTTCTTTCTTTTCTTTAGCAGGGGTACATTGAAATGGCCTTCTTGGTGATGTAATCTCACACTTTATTGACACTTTCAATTGCTGACCAAGTCACTAAAAACTGAATGACTTAGAAAATCTGCCCTAATGCCTGTCACAAAATATTTTTGCCAAGTACTGAAATCAATTCTGTATTCAGTATTTCTGCAAGTGTCATTTTGTTGCTAAAATTCAACGCACATCCCTTTCACCTGAACCTGGTACCCAAGCTGTACTAAATTACAACTTATTTTGCATTCCTCCAACCAACTGAAGTCCCAAATGAGACGGGCAGTTTCTGATATGGTGGGCCGTTCTATTGCAACCACACATGAACATGCAGCACTGATCAAATGATAACTGGTAAAAGTGCAGTGACATATGGTGGAACCCCATTTATTGGGTAGCACGCGGTAGCGTAGTTGGTTGAGTCACTATGCTACAAGACAGAAGGTTACTGATTTGATTCCAAATGAGGTCATTGCATGTTTCAATTGACCTAATACTTCCAGCCACGCTATGGCCTTTGGGTTGACTCAGCCTCTAACAGAAATGAGTACTAGGAATCCTCCTGGGAGTAAAAAGCAGCAGGAACATTAAGGGTGAAAACCTCACCGCGATCTGTGAGCCGACTGTCTAGTAAATGTGGGAGCCTCAATGTCTCACAACCATACAGGCCACCATGGCCTGTTACAGGTGTATCTTTACCTTTTTATCTTGTACCCCATTTAATGTCCCTCAACTTAGTATCTTCCCTCATTTAATGTTCAATTTCAGTGATCTCCAGTCAATAAACTGCATTAATTACCTCCATCTATGATCTTCCTTGATTTAGTTTCCAATTTCACTGTCTCAGAAAGAAACCTCACATGGGGATTTTATGTACTGAGAGAATTACTTACCCCAGTATCATATTCTCCACCACAACAACACAGGGAATGCCCTAGGAATTAATCTGGGGAAGGACTGTCTGAGCTAATGTGCCAAAGAAGCTATAAAATTACAGATGCTAAATACAGATAGACACATGCATACATACCTCAATGTCTGAAGTTTCTGACATTTCAAAGTCTTTATCATCTACATAAGTCACTTCAGCAGAAGAATCATTTTCCTAGGGAAATTAAGACATTATAAACGTAAGACATTTGTTGGCATAAGTTGTGATGTCACATAATTCTGGGATATACAAATGGGCCTGAATTTTGGAATCATACACAGATGGTCTATAATTAATCAAGAACTCAATAATCTGATATTCTATGATGTATATGACATTGACCAAAAGCTCTGGATGGGCTCGGAGACTTCAAAATAGGAGGGCAAATTATTCAAACTGTGAAATATGCAGATGACCTTGTGTTAATGGCTAAGGAAGAAACTGTGCTACAGGGCATGATTGATACTCTAATCAAAATTGGAAGGTGCTACGGCATGGAAATGAATGTGGAAAAAACAAAAGTAATGAAAATTTCGAGACAACCAACCCCAGTCACAATAAAGATAGACCAAAAACAACTGGAGAATGTGAAATGTTTTAAATATTTGGGTAGCTTGTTAACAGATGATGGAAGGTGTACTAGTGAAATTAAATCCAGGACTGCCATGGCAAAAGCTGCATTTAGCAAGAAGAATCTTTTTACTAACAAATTGGGCTTAAATTTGAGAAAGAAACTAGTGAAATGCTACATTTGGAGCATAGCTTTGTATGGGGCTGAAACATGGACACTTAGGGCAGCAGACCAGAAATACCTGGAAAGCTTCAAAATGTGGTGTTGGAGAAGGATGGAGAAGATCAGTTGGACTGATTATGTGAGAAGTGAAGAAGTGTTATTTAAAGTCAGTGATCAGAGGAATATCCTACATGAAATAAGAAAACGGAAGGCTAATTGGATTGGTCATATCTTATGCTGTAACTGCCTTCTAAAAGAAGTTACTGAAAAAAAGATAGAGGGGCAGATAGAAGTGACCAGAAGACAAGGAAGAAGACATAAGAAGATGCTGGATGACCTTGGGGACAGAAGAGAATATTTTCATTTGAAGGAGAAAGCTCTAGATCGCATCAAGTGGAGGAACTGTTTTGGAAGAGACTGTGGACCTGTCGTGTTGACAGATTACTGATGAATGAATAAATGAATATGACATTGCATATAGACCTGATATGAGTATTCAATTATTCAGTATGAAGGTTAACAGTCTGTTACAATTTACTACGATTCTGCAATAGTGGACACACTGTATATTGTGATTCACACAGGGTTTCATGAATTTCATCTAAATGCATCTTCAGGTAATTGTTTACAATTAGTTTTCCATGATTTATTCTATTTCTTATAGAAGCAACTTCGATACAAGCCAAAATGCTTTGAATATCAGCCAATGTGCTAACCACCAGGCAATACTATGTTTCAATTATACAACTCAGCACTACCAGAGTGGGAAAGTGCAGAACTATATAAAATCATTCATTATCAGCTACAGTTTAATGAATAAGACAACTCTGTTACTTATTTCTGCCTCAAAATTATTACAGGAATAAGAAACCTAAAGTTCTGGCAGCTGTTTATAACACATTTCTTTCAAAAGTTTCAGTAAATTGAGGAAGCTGGAGGATTGCGGGTTGGATTTTTAAATTGACCTAATCCTTCCAGCGGCACAATGGCCCTGCGGTAGTCTAGACTCTTAATAGAAATGAGTATCAGGAATCTTCCTGTGGGTAAAGGGCAGTCAGTGTGTTAAGGCTGACAACCCCACCGCCCTCTGCGAGCAGACTGTCTAGAAAATGTGGGCACCTTGATGTCTCACAACCCTATGGTCCTTCACGGTGTGTTACAGACACATTATTTTAGTGATCCATTTATATGAATAATTTCTATTATCACAGACTTCTGAGCACATTAAATTACCCTGAAGATGGAGGCAGTATTTTGCTTCAAAACATTGGCATCCCCATCCATCACAATAAACAGTATCATACTGCTGACGACCACAATATGAATCTTAATCGCTATGAAAAACTCAAGCTTCACATATGGTTCAACATGAGAATATGAATGGTTTGAAATTCATCTAAGAAATACTGTCATTCCAACTTTCTATGAAATATTGCATAAATACAAAAGAAGTGGACATTTTTAAACTGGAAAACAGCAAGATCATGACATACAGAAACTCACACGGAAGAACTGCAAGTAGTTCCCTTTCTTAACTTTCTAAATGGCCAACATTGACTTACTGAGGCTTCATTATACTAACGCTAAACAAATGACAGCTGCGGACAAAGCAGGTTGGTATAGCTCCAATAACATGTAGACTTACATCTGGTTTGCATTTTGACCAGGCCAACAGGAATTCTGAGAGAGGCTTTTTGACTCTTTTCCAGTGTCTCCAGATGATTCCTAAAATAAGCTGTAACTGCTTCCTTCCAAATCCTTAACCAAACCTATTCATCTCTTCCAACCTTGTTCTATGCTATATTTCAGACATGGTCAATCTGTGGCTAGTGAGCCATATGCAGCTCTTTAAAACCTTTTATGCAACTCTTGGAACAAAATATCAGTCGATCCCCTTTTTACAAAAGGCTTAAATATTTATATATATTAAAAAAATTGGTAGATGGAAAGCATGTATCTAAACACTGTGCCATTCAGTCCACAGTGTGTGTCCCTCCCCAAGTTCTGAAAATTATCATATGCAGCTTGCAAGTTCAGGAACTTTGGCCACCAATACTATGATACCTATGAAACTTAGAAAGTGGCATCAAATAAACCACAAATCAATCAATGATCACCTGGAGTTGTCTATATCAACATCACATTTACCTCAACATCAGCTCCACCTGTGTCACTGCCGTCATCATCATCATCATCATCATCACTCATCATGACATATTCTGAAACAGTCTCTCTTTCCAGTTCTCTCTCAACTTCTCTCTCCACTTCCATATTTTTCTGGAAAACAAGAACAGGTAGCACAAAACAAATTTCAGTGTAGCAACAAATGTGGAGCATTACACAGTGTCTTCAACATCTCTGGGGGTGAGTGATCATCACATACTGATGTGGGTCATTGTGTTATCTGTTTTCAACATACAATATGAACAATGTTCCCTGTAATCTGTGCACACACGCAGTTGCGCAGCAGTTCTCACACCTGCGCATGATTCTCAGCATCCAACTTCATTTAATATACAATCTGAATTTGTGAAATTAAAATTGAAAAAAAGTAAACTATGATTTTTTGTTATTTTTGGGAGCTTATAAATTTAATGTCCATTAGGGACCTTTTTCTGAAATCGCTGCCCTTCCCCCTCCCCCTGGTTGTGCAAACCAACCAAACTGCTGCTCAGAAGACACCATGACTTGAACATTTGCATCCCTGGCTTAGCAGGAACATTGAAATGGAACGAAACTCACCATCCCAGAGGGCTTGCTGAACACACAGGACTTCCTTCTGTAAGGTTGCCTATTCAAGGTATGAAATACCCTCAGAAATGTTTCAGACTGGGTATAAGCAATTTTGTTTTTGACTTGACCATGACTGGTACCAGGATGTAAGACGTGGAGCATATTTCATGCATTTGTATAGGAAGTTGTGCTTGCGATATGAGGATCTTCACCAAGGATGGGAACCAGGAAGAAATAAAAGAGGAAATTGTTACTGGAGGTTTTACCTCTTCTTCTCTTTCTTTTTCTTCTTCCTCTACATCAACCACATCCTCCTCCACCTCTTCTTTTTCCAGTGCCTTATCAAAAGCTGTCTGAGGGAAGTTGTAGATGTCTCCGTACTTGAAACACAGGGAAATTTAATTACTCATACATATTCAGATAAATAATGATCACAACTTATACAGGATAATTCGTGTCACAGAACGATTTAATGCAATTATACACAATGGTGTGCTGTGATGGATTTATTATTATGCAAAAAAGTTATTTTAAATTCTAAAGGGGTGAAAAAAGTATTCTCAGTATCTGAATGCAGTGATACTGTAATTCCCACCTTATGAACTTTACAGGATGATAGACATATATAGCAGAAGATTAAAAGTGGCTATAACAATAGTCTCGAATGATGTCCAAGTCAGTCTGCTACTAGCAGAACTGTTGAAAATATGTCCATCTACCCTCGCATCCGTAAGTGTTCTATTTCTTGTTCCTTTCATTAAATCAGAGATTTTCTCTTCTACATAAAAAGAAGCGCCAATCATGAAGTTCTGTTGAAAGATTCATCTACTGCCCTTTACATCCAACAAAACTCAACAACCTGCAGGGTAATAAAATAGATACATAAGGACGGTTCTCACCACTCCTTTCCTTAACCTCTCCACTAACTGTTTCTCAATAGCAGTGTCAAGTCGTGCAGCAATCAAAGCCTTGGTTTCTCTCCTCCTCTCTCGCACTTCTATCTTGCGCTGAAGGGGTACCAACTTCTTTCTAAAAAATTATGATATGTTTGTTACAATGGTTTTGTTTGTTACATTTTTTATGTGAAGATACAGAGTAAATAGCCCAGGACAAGAAAAAAAATTAATTTTACTGAATATTTTATGACTCCAGGATTCATTAAAATGATATTTCACTGTAGAAACACACATTCATACAAATGTTAGACCCTAAACCTTGGCATTCTTTGAAAACTTATATTGTTCTGAAATATTACTAACTAAAAGAGTCTGTATTGAAATGTTACTTGAGATTAAGATTCCTATGATATGGCATATAGGGATTCATTAATGTAATGGATCTGCTCAAAGTGTTGCTAGGTAACAGACCAGAAAACATTTCAGGGCAACAAGTGTGCAACAATAGGGCGTCCATTACTAGTTAATGCATGGGTGGACACATCTGACAACATTAGAGGCTGTGTTATATTTTAGCGTCCTGTTGCACTGATTTAAGTTCATGATTTGTTTAATCCGTCTTGCAGTGCGTACACTTATCTATCTTCTTCTCTCACTCTCACTACATGTTTCGGCATAAAATGCCATCTTCAGGTGCTACTCAATTCACGTCAAACTAGTACATTGTATGCCTTGTCTTCACTTTAAAATAACTAAAATATATGTCCATCATATATATTGACAAATGTCAATCGTAAATTTTTACGATTGACATTTGTCAATATATATGATGGACATATATTTTAGTTATTTTAAAGTGAAGACAAGGCATACAATGTACTAGTTTGACGTGAATTGAGTAGCACCTGAAGATGGCATTTTATGCCGAAACATGTAGTGAGAGTGAGAGAAGAAGATAGATAAGTGTACGCACTGCAAGACGGATTAAACAAATCATGAAATTAGAGGCTGTGTTTTCTGCAAGGTCCATGTCGAGAGGATATGAGAGTCTATGGATATGGGAATTGACTTCAGCTGAGTTCTATAGTCCCAAGGGAACCACAGTGTGGCCAGAAGAAGAATTAGAAGACTTAGTATGTGACGTTACATGTGCTGCAGTTACAGTATACCTGAGAGTGTAGAACTAATTGTAGTTAGGACCTATAAGGTGTTAATAAATCCAGTTGCCAATCCAAACCCGTATCTTTGTCACAGAAAACATGTGACAGTATGTATATCTAGTTTAAAAATGGAATAAAATACCCAATGCAATACTCACTTCCGAAGCAACGTCAACTTCCTCATTCTTATCAGATACTGAGTGATCTTCACAAACCTCTGCTTGCATTTTGACTTCATGTAATTTGGCCAATATAACAGATTTTCATTTATCTGATAAATTGCCTTCTCAAAGTTTCTCGACAGTTTCACTTTCTCCCATGTGTTTTTAGGGAACGCTGCTCTGTAAAATGTACCAAGGTACAAAATCAGCACCTTCCTCATTTACACATCTATCAAACTATAGGAACATAAAACTGAGATTAATACACATGACATATTGCTTATCACTGTGATCATACTTCTGAACAATTCCTGTACTCCATTCCAATATAAAATCTGTGTATTACTGCAATAAATTTTACTCATTCTTACTAATAACAGAATGTATTACATTCATGAAGAAATTAAACAGAGATTAAGTCTGCGCAATGCTTGCTACTGTTCACTTCAGAATATTTTATCTTCAAATTTTACATCTTTTCTTCTACCTAAAACCACAAAGATTAAAGAAAATACACACATAACTGTAATGATACCCATTACTTTGTTCATGTGTGAAACTTGATCCCTTATATTAAGGGATGAAGGAAACTGAAGGTGTTTTAAAACGAGGCACTGAGGAGAATATTTGGACCTAAGGGACAGAAAACAACAGAGAGCCAATGAAAATTGCAAACACACAACTACATAAATTGTAGTCTTTTCCATGTACTAATGAGGTTATGGATTCGTAGAGAATGTAGCACATATGAGAGAGATTAGACATGAAATCACAGCTTTTGTTGGAAAACCTGAAGCAAGGAGACAATTTAGGAAATTTAGCTGTACATGAGAAGATAATACGCTCTTCAAAAAGAAAAGTGAGAATGCTGACCAAATTTGTTTGGCTTGGGATAAAATTCAGCAATACGAATATTTTGGCTCCATTAAAAGACAGACGGTCTTTTGACTGGCTACGCAAATAACAGATTTTCAAGACCTCAGCTTCGTGGAATCAGTTAATGACAGTAATTCAAACTATAGTTCAGTTGGTACAGGGAATGCAGTGCAGGATGGACAACTGATGAATCTGGGTTAGGTTCCTAGCAGAGGCAAGAGGTTCTTCTCTCCGCCATAACATTCGGACTGGTTGTGGGACCCACCCAGCCTCTTATGCTGTGGGTTTCTGGGACTGTTTCCCTAAGAGTGGTGGAGCTATATGTTCACTCTCCCATATGCCCTCATGGCACAGTGCTTAACTAACCATACAGACTATTTTACCCTTACCTTTAGCAATTCAGACAAAACACATTAAACTAAACAAAGAGCAGGTATAACCAAACAGTGAGACTGTATGAAAACATTTCATACTTTTAAGTTCAGGGCCAGTTTACATGGCCATCACCTCTTCACTGACGACATAGTTTCTTGATACTTAAAACAACAACATGCAAGAGTTGTTAATTACCTCTCTGCTGTCTTCATGTACAGGTATATTATTCCATTTTCTTCTCTGACTGTTGCATACTGGCTGTTAGCAAGCGGACATGACGAACGGCTACACAGACCACTGAAGTTGTATTCATTTCTACAGAAACGTTGGCTAATAGTACTGAAGAAGAAAAGTACAGTATTACAATCTGACCAATCTATTTCCAACCATACAAGCCATGTATGTCATAATGTTTGATTATCCTGAAATGTTACTATGTTGTTCAATAATATAATTTACTTCACCCACAACTTCCTTTCTTTGGAAAGCTTTCATTACTGAAATAAGAATTTTAGAAAAAAAACATGGGGGAAAGAAATGAAAATCTTGCAAAATTATTGTCCCACATCTTAATAATTTATCAAAAATGAAAGAACAATGCAAGTGTTATGGAAGTAATGGCAGGTTTAACTGAAAGAGATTTTCATTATTCTGTGACCCTATCAGCTGCTATACTATTATAGCATTGAATGGTAGAGTTAACTGTTGAATGATGAACTGGAAAGGATTTGGAACTAAGCGGCCATGGCCTAATCAACATACTATCCTGGCATTTCTGAGAGGGACTGAGGAAAACCACAAAATATTTCAGCCAGGATTGCTGGCATCCTAGACCCAATTCAAAATGAGTACCTCCTGACTACAAGTCTAGATAGAATGTTACTATTTTCCTAACCCACTCAGTGAAATGCATTCAACCACATGCCACTCTACCACAACAAATCTACCAAAATTGATATACTAACACAGTACGAAAACTATGATCTGGGTATTGTGGTTAAAAAAGAAACAACTGCGTACCATGACTGCTGTCTGCATATGTGGAAAACATCTGCATTTTATGATATTCTCATTGCATGTAGATGAAAATACGTTACATAATGCAGAGGATAAGATGAGTGGAACACATGGTACATGTGAGATAAGAAATATATCAATGAAAATACAAGTATGTGTGTATAATAATGTTAAAATGAGGATGTGGACCGCATTAACAGGCTCAGAACAGGTTACAGTAGCACACATTTACAGACATGGCAACTATCACGTTCCACAAAACTGACAAAATTTCTTGATCAGCTGAGGGAGTACAAGATCCTTAGAGTTCTGGTTTGGTGTTAGTTAACTGGACCTTTCATTTATTGCTAGTGGGGTGGGAGTAAGTCCCTTTTACTGTGGCCACTTCTGGCCTATTGTACCAGCCCCAGAAGATAGGTGAAGGTGATTGTGGAGCAAGTGGTGAAATGAAGATTGGTAGGGGAAAACGAAGTACTTGGAGAAAACTTGTCCCAGTGCCACTTGGTCTACCACAAATTCCACTTGACCAGACCCGGGATCGAACCCAGGACGCCGCAGTGGGAAGCCAGTGACTAACCGCTTGAGCTATGGCGCGGCCTTTGTTAATTGGACTTCGTAGCTTTGTTGTTAAGTTTTAATACATGCTATCCAAGTTGTGGCCATGGAATTACATCACTGACAGCTAGTAACTGAAAAGAAATACATACATACCTCACTTTATATGAGCAAAATGACTTATTAATGATACTCCAGACCACCTGAAACAAAGACAGTCATACTATATAAAAGGATTAAGAAAATTAAATACATTCATATATGGGGGACTAAACTGCAAAACGTGCCTTTATAAAGCACTGTAAAAAAATGTAAAGCTATCCCTGTAACAGGCCATGGAGGCGCACAGGGTTGTGAGACGTCAAGGCTGCCACATTTTCTAGCCAATCAGCTCACACTTGGAGGTGAGGTTGTTAGCCTTACGCGCCGGCCGCTCTTTACACCCTAGAATGATTCCTGTTACTCATTTCTGCTAGAGACTGAGTCGACCCCAGGGCCATGGTGCGGCTGGCAGGATTAGGTTAATTGAGAAATCCAATGACCTCATCGGAAATCGAACCCGAGACCTTCCCGCTTGTACCATCGTGCCTCAACCAAGTACGCTACCTTGTGCCCCCAATAAAGCACTGTGACGAAACCAAATGAATCAGGCCAGGAAAAACGGCATTTCGATAATCAAGACGTTTTGAGGTTATAGATGCTCATATTGATACTTTCATTCCTTTGTTCATTGAAAAAGAAGAATCCAAATTTTACTTACATCATCATGCTGCATTCTGCTATGATATACTACAACTGTAAACAATAATTTCGATGATTAATATATAAATTTATGTAAATTTCAAAGCCTCACGTGAGGAATACCAAATTTTTAACACTGCACATTGCTTGCTTCACAGATGTTCAGAGCCACCGACGGCCATCGACCGAAGATTGTCAGAAGTCATTGATGCCAACCGATGCCAACACTCAGAGTCTACAGTGGCTACTATATGAACGCTTTTTTTATCGAGACATTCGCTTCCGGTCGCTGCTGCCATCTTGAGAACTCTCGCGAAATTCGAGTAACAGCTGTTCCCGTAATTTCGTAAAAGTTCTAACATATCCAACGTAACTGAGAAAATTTGGAAGGTGAGATTGCTCATTCGGTACAGCGATGGGGCCGGAATGCCGGTTTTCGATTTTAGGTAAGGGCAAGTTATTTTTCTTTACTTCACAGCGTGCAGACCGGCTCTGGGACCCACCCAGCCTCCTGTTCAGTGGGTATGGGGGCTATTTCCTCTTCCCTAAAGCGGCCGGAGCATGAAGCTGATCACTCACCTCCATTTAGTGTCGGAGTAACCTCCACTCCCCCATACGTCTTCATGGTGTGGTACTTAATTAAATAAGCACAGGGAGAACTTTACCCTTTCCTACCTGATAATACATAGTTTCTATGGGCAGATAGCCTGAAGCCTCAGAGCCGTTTAGTTTTTGGTAATACTGGAGGCGAAGGTACAGACAGAGGAAGGCAGAAGAATAAGTCGATGGATGGCACGGAGCTTCGTTACTGGCTTAAGTCCGTATTCTTGGGCTATTATAGAAACCTTTGTCTCCAATCGGCTCCTTCATACGGATGGGACATAGGTGGGATGTCCAGTGTAGGTAGGCGTATAGCCATAAAATCCAGCGTTATATTTGAGATTCTAGTGACGGTATAAATTTTCCGGCCTTGTGGGATTAAACGCCGTGTAGTCTGCTAGTTCCCCACCAAATCTTGGGGGAACCTGCTGCTTACATCTACTAGAAGAACCTGAAGATGCAGAAAGAAGTTTCCTCCGAAGAGTTGGTGTCTAGCGACCAAAATGTACGGCTTCACATCTCAGACCACAATCCCAAAAATCTAAGTTCGCAGCCCTTGTGAACGCTTGGGCCTATACTCACTTTTGCGACCAAGGAAAACTTGAAAATTCGAACCTTTGTTGCGTGCCCCTTTTGTGGTGCGTCTTAGCGACTCGTTGGTTTAAGTGGAGCTGTTTCCATGCAGCCACATGACTATCTAATGATTTGTTAAGACGTGCCACAAAAGCTGCCGTAAAAGGAGCCCCCAAAAAGGAGGGTCAACTGATACAGTAAAAATCCGATCATCGGATTAAGGATAAGACTGGTGCCGCTGTAATATCATAAAATAAAATTATATCGTTGCAAAGTTTATACAATATTAATTGTTGCATTACAATTATATACACTACACATAAAACTTCAGAATATAGAATGACTTTCGGCGACACAAATTTCAGAATATCAAATTAGAGTGAGTCACATTCAAATTAAATTCGCTCGAGCAGTTCTATAGATCTCTCAATGAATTAGTGTCTTCAAGAATTAACAACAAAATACAGTGTGTAACAAACCCTGGTTGCTTCGATTCTCCCATGCATCAGTTCGCGTAACTTTTATTACACTCCACAAAATCGACCGTTTTCTGTCATTAGACACTGGAAAATTCGAATCGGTTTTATTTTATCGTCCTCTTCTGTTAAATTCGACTAATATTTTCCCTGCTCACTATACAAGATACACGCCTTGCTATATTCACCTCCATTACCTATTTCAGTCAATTTATAAACCTATCCACCCTTCTTTACTCTACATACGTAAAATGAAAGTGTTGCAATGTTACTGTCCATTAATAGATATGAAGATGAGTGCCACCTTTTCAATAAACTCGTATTAGTGTTATCTGTAATTGTCCCGAAGTTACCATCGTAAATTATAATTTCCTGCAATTAATCCGAACAATAAAAAATCGTTTGGTGTTTATTTTATTATTATTTATAAAATTTTGTCGCCACTGTTCCACACAGTCAGCTCAAGATATTCTCGCTCCAGATTTTCTCAGACTGTGCTTAAATTTTCATTCTATTCCCCCCCCCCAATATTTATGCTCGTTCATTGTTTAAAAGTAGATGGTCAAACAAGTTCAGGGTGTCTATTTCAGGCTAATCCAAAGCAGTCTAATTTGTCGTCCAATCAGTTTTACCCCACTCAGAATATTAGTACGTACTTATCCTGTTGCTGGAGTTTGGACAGTTAAGTAAGAAGAGGTGCGCTGTTCTACGACAGCAGAATTCAAACTGAGAAACATCCCTGCACGTCTCGAACCAAATTTCATAAGATTGTGGGCTGTTATAAGTGATAAAATATTAAAGAGATAATGAGTACTCATATTACAATTTCTAAAGTGTAAAGAACAAATTAATATTAAATATGAGAATAAAATAATTTAGTTAATCGAGCTCTTAGTAGCCACCTTGGACGTAACACATGCCGAGTTTCAGAATGATACGAGTATACACATTTCTTAAACCCAAGAAGGTTCCATTATGGACATGTTTTCTCTGAAGCTAAGGCTAATTTTTGGGCTGTTCCCTGGATACAATTACTTCAATGTTGCCTGTTTTCTGATTAACTGTTACTCACACTTTATTTATGCAGGCAGTAATAACTTACATTGTTTTGCTGTAAGCATTCTCTTGACAGATTATTCTTTCCAGTCATTTGGAAACAAGTTTGATGACCCTGGAACATAGAATGAGGCTGGAGTTTAACATCACAACCTTTAATACGTACGACTTCATAAAATTTCATTCCTTTTAGGGTTGGTGTCTCCATTTAATATGCGCTGAATCTCTGTCAAGGTCTTCCCTTTAGTTTCTGGCACTACAATGAATATAAAGAAACTTGCTATGAAGCATATTACAGCAAACAACCAAAACGTCCAGTGTTCTCCCAACCATTCAATAAGTTTCCCAAAAGAAAAAGTTACTATAAAAACGAGTGTCCAGTTGGCACACACAGCAATACTGCTAGCTGCCCCTTTTACATTAGGTGCAAATAATTCCCCCATCATCATCCATGGCAACGGTCCGAATCCGAGAGAGAACATCACGATGAACACAGCGACACACATCAAAGGAAGCCAGCCTATGCCTGACACGTCATTTTCATTATTCTTGAGAGAAAAATACAGTCCTAAAACTGCGAGACATAAGGCCATGATACTCGCAGACAACAGTAACAAAATCCTACGACCAGCACGGTCAACCATGACGCTCGCTACGTAGGTGACCACAACTTGAACTATTCCAACAATAATAGCAGAGACTTTGGGATCGAGGCTACTTCCCGCAGCACGGAATATGTCGACGGAGTAAAATATCACAGCGTTCACACCACTGAGTTGCTGGAAGATCATTAGACCTAAGGAAATTATCACTGCTTTCCGTGTCCCTCTTGAAGAGACCAAATCCGTAATGGATGCTCTCTCTTGTGTCGATTCACTTATATCCATGTCAAGTTCTTCAAACTCTTGCCAGATGTTGTAAGACGAGCCTCGGTAGTACTGTAGTGACTTCCTGGCCTCCTCGGCTCTGTGCTTCTTCATGAGATATGTTGGTGATTCCCGTACTCTCGAGAACGTTATGAAGAGAGCCACAGGGACAATTCCAGAGAGTATTCCTAACCAAGTGTAACTTGCGATAGCACCGACGATGTACGTGAACAGAATCCCAACAGTTAGCATGACCTGGAAGAAAGATCCCAGAGCACCCCTGACAGAACTCTCGGCGATCTCCCCGATGAACATGGGGGCCACTACCGAGGTGGCTCCAGTTGCAAAGCCGGCAATGAACCTTGCCAGATACAGGAGTCCAACAGAATTGGCCACGACGATGAGGATCCAGCTGAGGAGGAACGGAACTGACAGGGCCAGTATGACGAGCTTCCGCCCGAAACGGTCCGCGAAGTATCCTGCTGGCACGGCACCCACAATCGCCCCCACTGCCACCAGGGAGCCGATCCAGGACCCCTCTTCTGGGGTAACGGGGAGTGTACTGTTCGTGCTCTGAAGTTCGGGCAACGTGGGGGACGTCCAGGCCAGAACCGTCCCTGCTGCCATGGCCCCCAGCGTGACTGCACATCAAACAGGGCTTTTCAGAATAGGTCCTAATGCAACGTAACTCTGAGGGGAATAGGGAAATGTTATAACGAGGGGTTTCATGAAACGAGAAACTACAGAATTATAAAATGGCGAGAGAACCTGAAGACATCGAAAACAGAGGTAAGCGGAAAAATCCGTGATTTTAGTCCGCAGGCGAACTCTACCGACCGAGCGACCGCCGCCTGTCGGCGATGTTTAGTGCCAACTTTTGCGGATATAGGGTGTCGCGTGGTCAGCGCAACGAATCCCCACGGCCGTTAATTTCGGTTGTCTATACCGGAGCCACTATTTCCTTGAAATAGCTCCTCAGTTATCATCACGATGCTGAGTGGACACCGTTCCAGACCCACTACTTTTGAGAAAGAATTTGGTAGCGCCGGGGATCGAACCCGGACCTATGGATCTGTAGCCAGGAAATCTGACCACTAGACCACAGAGGCGGTAATTATAAATTATGCATATTTATACATTATGAATGTAGCCAGCACGAACGAAAATTTTAATCCGTAAACACTTTGCATGGAAAACATCATGTCGGACAGAAACGTGGGCCTATGTACGGAGGTGAGGACTGGATTGAACTGGCTCAGAATTGGAATCAGTGGCGAGATTTTGTGACACATAATATTCGTTTTCCATAATAAGAGGAAGTTATGATGAAAACTACTACTTTGTACACACAGCGACGAATAGTTGGGTACGCACTGAAAAGAAACATGGAAAGCAAATATGTCCTCAATAAGGAAATGTATTTTGTAAAGTTATCAGGTAGAATTCGAAGTAAAAGAAAGTTTAAGCTCAATAGACCACTGTAGGTCGCGGTTCAAGGGCTGAGAAGGTCCACCCCTTATACTTTCATTCATTATACAAAGGAAAGTTTAAAAAAAGATTGTATTTTTGTTTGACGATACTTCATTCTGTCTGACGTAATTGTATTCCGAAATCCGGAAATTTACATTCAAAATAGAACTTGCAAATATATTCGTTTTCACATTTTAACCTTGTATTAATACTTTTTTGTTGATAAAAAATGCAACTTAATTAATTCTATAATATGAAATTTATGAATAATTACGTGGCTTTAAATCTGGAGAGGGTTTTCAGATTTATACACTGCCATCCTGCCAAATAGTTTGCTCACCACTGTTGTGAGCACGCAGAGGAGAAGTAGAACAGAGTCATACAGTACAATGTCTCGGAAAAATAAGAGCTAATCCGTGATACTTGCCGAAAACTGCGGCCATATATTGGGTCAGTTTCTTTCCTTCAGCCCTCGGTTCTTGGCTTTCTTCGGCAAGTTGCTCCTGCCGCAGCGGTTCCAACATGACGCCCTCTTCAGCAGAAGTGTCACCACTGTCTCGACGGATTGGGTCCACTGTTGCTTTGTGACAAAACACGGTCACTTTAGTTTTATTCATAATTTTTCCCCCATATGCAGAAAAATTTTCTGACAGCGGGCGAACGTTATGAAATTACGCATTTTTTGGTTACCATTACAACGGATTTTATAGCGTTGCACGTACCTAAATAATGCAGTATGTCACGAACAAACTAGCAGTCCTTTGTTTCGGTGTATCGTGTCTGTTATGTGAGTATTGATAATATTTTTATGTAGGTATGTGAAACGCATATATGATATAAATGAGACTGTTTGTGACTGACTGTGTGTGCGTGTTGTTCGTGGGAGATGGAATTATTACACGTCTGCCTCAACGTATCAATCGATAATGTGTGGAAGAAATCGGGGAAATTAAGGATATGAAAACGTATGTAACAAAATATGACATTTCCCGTTAATCGCTCAACTGACGTTATATGAGTGTCATATTACGGAAACATTGTGCACGTTTCGTGGCGGAATAGAGGACTGTGTGGGTTGTTCTCAAAGGAGACTTGAATGCATAAGATTTGAATAATAAAAAGCTTGAATTTTAATTAAAAGCCGCACGAGTTGATGTAGCGGTAACTCTATAGGCTTGTATTCGAGAAGTGCTGGGTTTGAATCTCGGCCTAGACACATGCCATATTGACAGAATTTTGGGGGGTAATTTTCGACAGTCCCTTAAGGAAAATGCAGGGCCAGCACGTCTACTAAGCCAGAACCAGAAAGGATGGAGTTGTATGCACTTCAGTGATCAAGACACTGAAGATGGGCTTATATGTTACGTAAAAATTCGAAAGGTAAACTGATTTTGAATTATGAACTGGAAAGAACGTAGATAGAAGGTTCCTTGGCACGTTGTAGGGTAGTAGTCAAGTGATTTACGGTACATGAGGTAGCGTAGCCTGTTGAGGCACTATGCTACAAGCCGGAAGGTCGCGGGTTCGATTCCCGTTGAGGTCATTGAATTTTTCATTCGACCTAATTCTTCCAGCCGCACTATGTCCTTGGAGTCGACTCAGCCTCTAACAGAAATGAGTACTAGAAATCTTCCTGAGGGCTGATAACTTAACCGCCATCTGTGAGCCGATTGTCTAGATAGTGTGGGAGCTTCGACGTCTCACAACCCTATGGGCCTGTACGGCCTGTAGCAGAGAGGGCTTTACTATCCCAGTGATTTAAATGCAAAGATTGCGATAAACACATAGGAATTTCGGTCAAGTTGGACGGCCTTGTGGCCGATGCTCTAAGTTAGGCAACCGAATAAACAACTACTTTTGCTGACATTCCATTGTCTGTTACTGGCTTGTTATCTGTTGATATGGACTTTACATATATTTGCTCAGATTGCTGTTTGCTGAGTGATAACATATGATGGATCCCTGTAAGTATCTGAACGATTATGGGAGACTAAAATCAGCCTCACTACGAGATTAAGAGGAGTGTAGCTTGGCTGTATTCGAGCAATACAAAATGTACAAAATGAGGCAAAAGATGAAGTGTTCCTTAAGTAATTAAACACTACACCACGAAGGCGTATGGGGGAATGGATGTATATATCCACATTTTCTTGACCTCGGCACTAGTTGGAGGTAGTGGTCAGCTTCACACCCCGGTCGCTTTACCTCAGGGGAAACAGCCCCCAAGATCCCCTGTACATTAGGCTGAAGTACATGAATAATTCTGGTGTGGAATCCAGTCAAAACAGGCATCTGGAAGACCTAGAAATAAATGCATATTAATATTAAGATGGCTCTTTGTAGCAAATATATGAGGACCGAAAATGTATGAAACTGACACGGAACAGAGTGGAGATTGCACTTCGTGGGTCTTTGGACCGTGGACTTGAATGTGAGAATTATTAAGCCATAAGAAAATCTGATTTGTGAAAATCGTTCAGATTATAATATTTTGCTAGGCAACGTCAGCGAAATAAGCAAATATACGACGGCCGTTACTAAGCAGCAGCCGTAAATGTCAACATACGAACAATGTTTTCTGTGTGGTCCGTGCCGATATATCATAAGTGGGTCCAGTTAGCTGTTGGTGCAACCCATTCTCGCGTTAGAGACGATTAATTTAAGGATATTGACTTCAAGGTTTCAGTTGAAAAGATAAATCTCTGGTCATGAGTCTCAAGGAGTTAAGGCCAAGACGAACTGATTCCCTGTAAACCGTCAGTCGTAAAATAACTGTGACTCTGTGAGTGTGTTGGAGGGAGTTGGTTGATGAGCGAGTCACTTAGAGGACTGTTGCGGCTCAGTCGTTGTGAACTGTTACTGGTAGAAGCTAGTAGCTGAGACACGAGTACAATTCGGAAACGTCCGCCGTTGAAAGCCGCTACCAAGCAACGGCACTGAAGACATTATTGTGAACACTATTGTGCTTGTAATATTGTAGTATATAATATAGTTACGCGCTATATCAAAGAGTCCAATAAATCCGGCCATCAATCCAAAACCGTCTATAATCATAATCCACAGAATCATGACAATGCAAAACAAACAGAATCAGGCCCGCTTGATGTTTAATCCCTGTAGAGGAGCGTGGCTACATAACACAACTGAAATCAGTTATACAAACTTCTGTAATCTCTTCGTTTGTTACACATCATTGTAAGTCAGGAGATAAGAAAGGTGATAATTCTGTAGATAGCCGCAAGTTTAGCGTCGCTTAGAACAACACTTCGATAAGGAGGGACTGTGTGGTTGATTGATGAGCTGATAATCGACAGCGCGACTAACGTTAGACTTACGTAAATTCTGAGCCACTTTACCGGTGCCGGCTGTACACGCAGAGGGTTTAGTTGAGTTAACTAGAGGTGCAGCAAGCGGAACTCTGCGCCATGAAATTTGTTTGGTTGCTGTACCTCACCCCCCCTTCCTACTCCTACTATATTAGCCTTAATGCGCAAGACAACGGGCAGGACAGAATTCTGGACTATAAAAACCTGAGAACACGACTTTTCGTAAACTGGATCTGTTTCCGTTCTACAAGAGGGGTTGGAGACACCGCTAGAAAGGGCTAAGAGTAAGTGATTGAGGTTAGATATTTCTGAGGAACCCACTAGAGCAGGTGGCTCCATCCTCAACTGAGGGCGGTAACAGAAGCAGTTTCCCAAACGGTGCGGTGTTTAGTTTTGAGAGCACCGAACGAAGCACAAAATCCCAGCAGTTCTGAGTCACAACAAACAGTTCCGTTCGAGGCAGAAAATCTCACAGAGTTGTACTGCGAAGCTACTGGGATTTAGGAAGCAAACTCTAGCCGTGCTGTAACCTCAGAGAGACGTAGTTACTGCCATGATCTTCACGTTCTGTCTCAGACTGGAATAATGAGGCGTATATTTTGAGCATCTCACGGTGATTCAACCGAAAAAGAGAACCCCTTATTACTGAACGTCGTTGTTATTTCTGTAAATATCTGTGAGAGCCCATCATACCTTCAGTAGGCAACCTTACGGAAGAAAATTCCCGTGTGGTCACCGACATCTCCGACATGGCGTTCCTGGTTCCCATCTTGCGCTGAAATTAAAAGCAATTGATTTGTTAATGACGTCATGACCATGTCACCTCAAAGACGGTATAGGCACAGTATATACGATATATACTTAAATAAGTGTTAATATCACTCTATTATATACGACTGGACCTCGCATAAGAATTCATATTTAAATTATAACATTCTGTATGTTCATGTTCAGCGCAACTGACGTCCTTCATTTTAGTCACTCCACGCGATGCTAATTTAATGACGTTTCTCCTGCTCGTATGACAAACGGAGGGGATTTATGAATGACGAATTGCAAAGTATCGGGAAGTAAATGATAGTATATTATTGCTTTATTGTCGATGATAACTAAAGATCTCCATGAGGTCTCTTCTGCTTGAGAAGACGCGGGCCACTCAGCTGATCGAGAATCTCGTAGTATTTACATAACCCGAAGTTTTATTATCAAGGTCGCAAGATCCCGCCACATGCCCCTATCCAGAGGCAGAAGAATCAGGTCCAGACCAAACTATCCTGTTTCTCTAGGATTGCTCTATTCAAAGGATGATAACATTTATGAAACTGCGTGTTATATAATTGTCTCAGTTTTCTAATAATGATATTCTCCTTGACCATTTTAATTGTTCTCCTATCCTCGTGGCAAGTGACCCACATAAATGTAGAATTTAATTTATAAAGTTCTATATGTTTCGAAAGTAACGGCATAACTCAGTGAAAATAGTGACTAAACTACGGGTTTGACAACCGAGGAATCCAAATTATGGTTTAGGCATGAGTAACCATTACTTATGTCCCTCACAGCATCCAAACCGGTTCTGGGGCCCACAAAGCATCCCGCCTGACCAGTAGCAGGCAATATTTCCCCAAGGGTTCAGTGGCAAGGGCGTGAAGGTAACCGCTCACCCTCGTGTAGTGCCGAGGACATGAATACGTGGAGATATACCTCCGCTCCATCACATGATTTCCTCTTGTAACTGATTCGGTACAGCGAGAATTTCACTTTTTTAAAGATTGGAAAATTTTCTTACTAATGAAAAATGAATTATTTGAAAATATAAACAAATTTATTCTCTCCGGAAACTATTGTATAAAGAACAGAACTGTGAATGCAACATCTGTAAGTTTTAATTTTTCCGTTCCGGAAAAATGCGAATTCTCATACATAGGTCCGAAACATGTCCCCTGTTTCCCAACAACGTGAATCCTATTAATTTCCTCAGCATGAGAGCACCAGTATTTCAGTTTATAGGCCTAGATGCGCACGCATTTCCAAAAGATTACATAGCAGTAAATTAAATCTGTAAAGAAATAATTTAATTAACACTCATTACGATGAGTGTTGTCTTGTGGGGTATGAAGCAATGTAATCCGACAGACGCGGGTAGCCTACTTCTTGCTTTATTCTTTTTTGAATTCTGATAGTGGGGGTGGAGTACAGTTGGGTCCACTCGGCATGGCGGGCACAGATTGGCCTATTGTACCTGCCCCCGTGAATATGATGATTGAGAATTTGGTGGAATGAAGATTGGCTGGGGAAACCGAAGTACTCGGAGGAAACCCGCTCCAGCGCCACTTTGTCCACCACAAATCCCACTTGACCAGACCCCGGGCTCGAACCCGGGCCGCCACGGTGGGAAGTCAGGGACTAACCTCTTGAGCTATGGTGCGGCCTACTTCTTGCCGGTTATTTTCTTGGATAACACTTCGGTTGTATGTTCCTCCTAAGTTATAGTGATCTACCAGACTACACGGCGTCACCTCCAAGAAGTGAGGGTCTCGCCCTGTACTTCTGATCACAGTCTGTGTAGCAGAATGTGAACTACCCACCTTGAGTCACTGCACTGTTCCTCCACACTCAGCCCACGTTCACGGAGTAAGTGGCATGGGTTCCGTGAAGTTGGAAAGATTCTCTTATCTCATGAGATAGCCGTTGATGACCATTGTCCGGGTACTTCTCGAGATGATTGCCCACAGGAAAACAAACCCTTGAGGACACATCTGTTGGCTGTAGCTGCCGTATCAGCATCGCTATGAGCCTGTGCATTGATACGTGATTTGCTGTTGGGAAACGACAAGAAAATTGGGAAGACGCCGTCTCCTGGCGCTTGCTGACGCTGCTGTCTACTATCTGAGAGACACTGACGTTGGTTGACGCGCCGAATCGCGTTTGCCGGTGGATTTCAGAGAGATTTTTGCGATAAGTGTAGATGGCTAATTAGAAGACATAATCTTGACGACATGCGCCACGGACAAGAATTCAGCCAAGATCTGATAATTGTGATTTGTTAGGTTCTCAGATTTGGCGAACACCTTTATTGGACGTCACTTTCAGACACACACTTACAGTTATTCTCAACTTATAACTTCGTCAGAAGTCCCCCCTTTGCTATTACAATTACTTGCACCACTGATCTTGGTGAAGTGTCTTCTGCTCTGCTCGGAGCTCAACTGTCCTTGGCCCCTTGTCGGATACTAACTCTTCTGTTCTCTTGCCGAATAAAAACTGTTATATATATTGCACTCGGACTGAATAGAGAACACCTTGTCGAAAGGTTAATTTCTCCCGCTGCTATGCAACGCGGGAATACGTGTCTGCCTCACACAATTCGTTTGTATCGGTGGAAACCCCACTGTTAAACTTTCATTTCCGGTGAAACGATTTCCTAAGCTTCGCTGCCTAGGAATTGCTAGCCGTTGACTAGTGATGGACGTCTTATCATCAAGCTTTCAGGCGGCACGCCACAATACTATATAGAACAATACACAGACTCTGAGAGACACTAGTGAGCAACTTGTACTCTTCGCGAAGTACAATAACGAGTAGAGTGATGGAAGTCAAGGAAGATGAGCTAGGCAGGACATGTAGCACGTATGGGGGAGAAGATTTTGGTGGGAAGTCCATAATGAAAGAGATTACTAGGAAGACTTATGTGTAGGTAAGAAAGTAATATTAAAATGGTTCTTATATATATATATTGGTGATACTGACTGGATTGATCTTGCTCAGGATAGTGACTAGTAGAGGGCTCTTGTGAATACAGCAGTGAACTTCTAGGTGACATAAAATGCTGGAAATTTCTTGAGAAGCTGAATGGCTGGAGGCTTTTCAAAATGGACTCAGTTCCACAGTTAGTTAATATAAGCCGCCTATGCCTATACCTCGTCACGACAATGAAGAAGGGAACGCAGCCAGTGGTGCTTAAAACAAATGACAAAATTTGAGTTCGTTCCAGCGAAGATAATTGAAAATATAGGGTTTTAATTTTTTAAGCTTTCTCAGAGTTGAATGCTCACTTTGTGTTTTTCTAGGCTGACACGCTTCGTAGATGGATACAAATATTTCGAATGGATAAGTTGCTTCCATCTTCAGGATTGAAGATTACAGGATTACAAAATTACTTGAGTTATAAAAGGTCATGGGGTACAGAAAAACATAATTTAAGAATAAAATTTTGTATTCACAATTAAATTAAGAATAGATCGAATATCCAGCACACACTCTCTCGCACTCATTTGGAGTCCATTTTCTTTCTGTGTCCTACCTACAGACGTTAAGATGAAAAAGTAGGAAGTTAGGATTTTATTTGTTGTATTGTGTGGGGCTGGCACTTCGTCTCTCACTGACATGGATCTGCATAGTCCAGACCGCGGGCTCACGAGTACACAGTACTGAGTAGGACATTTGCACTTACGGCAAGGGAAGTAATAAGAGTAGGCAGGGGATAGCATATTTAGGAACTTTTAGCGCCTGTACGCTTTGCCTGAATTTATTTGTCTGACTGGATGAAGGTGGAGAGGGAGGAAGGTACGTATACTTGGTCGTCGACTTGCGACCGACTTCCGTTCTGACTGACAGGTCGTAAGTCGATCTGATCGCATGTCGGCCATATATTTATTAACAGTATTTTTTAACCTTCCTAATCATTTTATCGTATTTATAATTTATTTCTTGAAACTTTTACATTTTAATCATTTTTGTTTATCATTTTAAATACAGTAATGTTTTTATCTTTTACTTAGCGATACTGCACATATCTTCGTTTCTACGCATAGACCACCTGTGGATACTGTGGCCTTAAGTCGCATAGGTCGTAAGTCGACTACCAAGTGTAAATGAAACTTGCACAGGGATGCGTCTGGCTGAAAATTGTATACAAATCCTTAGCCAAGACCCAATAGGAAGACCACCTGCAAAATTCAGTATATTGGAACATACTGGACCTTGTTGAAATAAGGTTTGAATGGGATTTATATGGCTCAGCATAGGGTCCTGTAGCGGTGTTTTGAGAATACCACAATGCATTGCCAAGTCCTACTGAGGTTGGAATTCTTTAATCGGCTGAGAAATATCGAAATTGTTAAGGGCGGCTGAAGAAATTACTCTGTTAATCCTGAATTTACAAGAAGCAATTTTCTTCAGACTGACTTGATTGAGACTAGCTCTTTCTAAGGGGCCCAACTGAGTAGGTTAAACCTTCCCTATACACCTGAAGACGGAGACAGATCCAGTCTCCGAAACGTTGTGGTTTTTTGTCTTTTTTTATATACCGGACGATGGGTGAAGTCCAAAATAAGCCNCAGACGTGGTTTGGGATTGGATGTTGGATTTATTGACCACTTACAGGTCGCAGTTACAAATAACTACAACTTCATCTTACAAAATCACACTAAGTGTTTTCCAGTCCACAGTGTCTTCACTAATAGTTGCCTGGTAACGGCTTCTAACGGTGTCTATTCCTCTTCTTCCGGGCTCAAGTCGTATGTGAACGGTGACCCATTTCATACTGAACTATTCTCAAAGTCGAAGTCACATTTCGATCTTGTGAACAGGAAAGGCTAATGAAATTTCGGGTTCCGCGCAAGACGCGGAATTTCTCTGCGAGGTGAGCGCTCTTTGGCTTTTCAAGAAGAATTCTGTTTCACGGAAAAAGTCTAAATTTGCCTCACCAAATTTTGCTCTTTCTTCAAGATTTCAGTGCAGTTAGCATCTATGCAAAGTCTCGTGATGTGTAGTGCAGATTCCACATTGTCTTCCTTCCATTTTTACCACTAGTGCATTGTCACGTGACCTGTATGTGTATGACACAGGATACTTATATTACATAATAAGCTTTTTAATACCTAGATAAGAGGTGGATGTTACGGTTTTCTTCCGTTTTCTGCTTTTGGCTTGTTTGCGAGTTTATCGTGTGAAAATAATAAATTAGGACTCGGTAGGTATTAAATATAAAGAATAAAATAGTTGGTTGAGGCAGTAGCTACAAGCTGGAAGATCGTGGGTTCAATTTCCAATGAGGTCATTGAATTTTTCAATTGACTTAATCCTTCCAGCCACACTATGACCCTGGGGTCGACTCAGCCTCTAACAGAAAGAGTACCAGGAATATTCTTGGGGGGTAAAGGTCGATCGGCGCGTAGGTGTGACAACCGCACCGCTGTCTATTAGCCGATTTTCTAGAAAATGAGGGAGCCTCGGCGTCTCACAAACCTGTGGGCTTCTACGGCCTGTTACAGAGATAGCTCTACTTCTTTTTTTTTACCAGAATATATTCTGAGAGCGTGGACCAACAGAAAACAGATTACCTGCCTATACGAATTCGTATTCAAGTCTATACTCTCTGAAAATTTGCACTGTTTAATGTTTCAAGTAAAATGAAAACTACAAATAAGTGAATTTGCAGAATGATAATACGTGTATCAAAATGCCGATATGACAATTATCATATTTCGCTGTCAGTCCGCAATGAATGTACAGTGATGACGTATATCCTGCGTTTCCCATTGAACCTGTTCTTTTGCGTATCAGGAGATAACCTTTTCTAGGTTAGATGCGTAATGACATCTGGTATATTGACCGCCTCACGTGTGTATCCTGCCCACACAGTGTATCTGTGTATTCCGTGTGGTTCTCACAATAAACAGCGACTGCTTCCCTAAACAGCATTGACCGGTTCGGCTTTGTAGAGGAAACGTAATGTTTCCTGTGAGGTACGGACTGAGACTTTATATATTATTTTGAACGTTAGTAAAATTTGACAGAAAAACGTTTTTTTTTTTTGGTTTTTAAAAACTACAATGTTGGATTGTGTTCATCATCCAGGCTTATTAAACCTATGAGATTAGGTATACCAAAGAGACTAACGGGGAGAGCCGGCCCATTCAATTTTGGAGGTTCCCTAGAAGAACTGAATTTTGGGCCCTTTGTTTTATAAATTAACCCAAATTTCGAAGTCCCTTGCTCCTCATACACCGGTGAAAATCTCTACAATATGAAACACGAAACGCGGCATAGACAATTCTGTACGTACAAATAAAAATATAGGTTTGAGTGTTGCATGACAATTGAAAGGAGGTCCCAATAATAGAAGCCCTCTGTGGGTGTACCGTTTGCAGTACATGTCTGGCTGGTATTTTCTTTAGTGTCATGTTAATATGAAGAAGAAAATGTGGCCGTTCCAATAATTTCGAACGACATATAAAAGAAGGGCGTCACGCCATCCGCAAGAATTTGTTCCGACATGCAGGAGAGGCGAGGGATGTTGGCTAGCTTTAAGTTAAGCGTGGGTCCATACACGGCCCTGTCAGCATCTGGACTGTACATAGCGTTGACTGGAATGTTGGTAAATGGAAAGGATTTGAAAGAAGACGTCGTGATCTAATCGAATTACTATCCCGGTATTTGTGTGGATGGACTGTGAAATAACCACGAAACGTCTCAGTTTGGATAGCTGAGATTCGAACTAAGTGCCTTTCGAACATGAGTCTACAGCGTTGCCCTTATTCCACCCTCTTAAGCGTGCGTAACTGATTGCACTGAATTTATAATCTACAATGCAACAAATATTGAAGTCAACTCACCATGTATACCTTTACTGATAGGGTAGGTAGTGCACTCAACGAGTAACATAA